AACCACAACTTTCCAACAGACTTCGCCCAACGCAACGTCCACATTGCGTCTGAGCCCACGCCCTGGAACAGACCAAATGGAGGCAAGCGAAAGACTTTCGTCAACAACTTCTCGGCTGCCGGTGGCAACACTGCTCTGATGGTTGAGGACGGTCCCCTCATTGAGGAAAATGGGGAAGACCTCCGGTCTGCCCACCCTGTGCTTGTCTCTGCTCGGTCTCAGTCTGCGCTGAAGAACAATATCTCTGCTCTCGTGCAGTACATCGACAAAAACAAGAACTCGTTCAATTCCAACGAGGCTAGCCTCCTTGCCAATCTGTCCTACACAACCACGGCGAGGCGCATCCATCATCCCTTCAGAGTTGCTATCACTGGATCGACTCTGGATGAAGTGAGGAATGGTTTGGCACCTATAGTCAACCGAGACGGCATTAGCCCAGCTCCTGTCACTGCACCTGGCATCGGCTTTGTCTTTACCGGACAGGGTGCTCAGTACGCAGGCATGGGACGCCAACTGTTTGAGAGTTGCTTCCAATTCCGCGCACACATTGAGCATTTGAATTGCATTGGTCAGAGCCAGGGTTTCCCATCTATCTTGTCCCTGGTCGATGGAAGTGTGCCAATTGATGAGCATAGCCCTGTGGTTACACAGCTCGGCACCACCTGTGTGCAGATCGCATTGACCAAGTATTGGATGTCGTTGGGTGTTTCCCCTAATTTTGTCATTGGACATAGTCTCGGCGAGTTTGCAGCGCTGAATGCTTCCGGCGTCTTGACAACCAGTGACACTATCTACCTTGCCGGAAGACGAGCCCAGCTCCTCACCGAGCAAATTAAGGTTGGAACTCATGCTATGCTTGCTGTCAAGTCCTCAGTAGCACAGGTTAAGCAGTTCCTTGATGAAGCTACCGAAGTGGCTTGCATTAATGCGCCCAGCGAGACTGTCATCAGTGGCGCAAGTGAGAAGATTGATGAGCTTGCCCAAACTCTTGCCAACGAAGGTTTCAAGGCTACCAAACTGAATGTACCATTTGCTTTCCATTCAGCTCAAGTTGAACCCATTCTCGAGAGCCTTGCTGAGATTGGAAAGGGTGTCAGTTTCAATGTACCCTCTATTCCATTCGTATCTGCTCTTCTTGGGGATGTCATCAATGAGACCAACAGCGAGTTGCTTGGTCCCAACTACCTCACCCGCCACTGCCGGGAGACTGTCAATTTCTTGGGTGCTCTGGAAGCTACCCGTCACTCCAACTTGATGAACGACAAGACTATTTGGGTTGAGATTGGCTCTCACCCAGTCTGTTCGGGAATGGTCAAATCAACTTTCGGTCCTCAGGCAACTACTGTGGCATCTCTCCGTCGTCAGGAAGACACGTGGAAGGTTCTTTCAACCAGCGCTTCTGTTATTTACATGGCTGGCATTGAGGTTCGATGGAAGGAGTACCACCAGGACTTCACTTCTGGACGCATAGTTCTCCCACTTCCTTCCTATAAGTGGGATCTCAAGAACTACTGGATCCCCTACACTCACAACTTCTGTCTGCTCAAGGGCGCACCAGCGGGACCAGTGGCTGAGGCTGCGCCAGTCGCCGTGTTTTTGTCCTCAGCAGCCCAGAAAGTTTTGGAGACAACTGGTGACAACTTGTCGGCATCTATCGTCGTCGAGAATGATATTGCCCAACCCGAGCTCAATCGTGTGATTGCAGGTCACAAGGTTAATGGTGCATGTCTCACTCCATCGGTATGTATATTCCCAACATTGTTATTTGAAAATTCTGTTTGCTAATTGAGACTTAGTCTTTATACGCCGATATTGCACAAACACTCGGCGAATATCTTGTTCAGAACTACAGGCCCGAGTGGAAAGATCGTGGCTTTGATATTTGCAACATGGTGGTCCCCAAGCCACTTATTGCAAAGGGAGGCACGCAGCTCTTCCGTGTTTCAGCCACTGCAAACTGGACCGAAGAAAGTGCAAAGGTTCAGGTGTGGTCTGTGACCTCGGAGGGAAAGAAGATTCTTGACCACGCCAGCTGCAACATCAAGTTCTTTGATCCCAGTCCTTACGAGCTAGAGTGGAAGCGCAGCTCTTACCTCATCAAGCGAAGCATTGAACATCTCCAAGAGAGCACGATATCCGGTCAGGCTCACTGCATGAAGCGAGGAATGGTCTACAAGCTCTTTGCTTCTCTGGTCGATTATGACGAGAACTACAAATCCATACGCGAAGTCATCCTCGACAGTGAACAACACGAGGCTACTGCTCTAGTCAAGTTCGGGGCACCACCCGGCAACTTCCATCGCAATCCATTCTGGATTGACAGTATCGGTCACTTGTCTGGCTTTATTATGAACGCTAGTGATAACACCGATTCGAAGAATCAAGTGTTCGTCAATCATGGATGGGACTCCATGCGGTGCTTGAAGAAGTTCGATCCTAGCGTCACTTACCGCACCTATGTAAGGATGCAACCCTGGAAAGACAATATTTGGGCTGGTGATGTCTACACGTTTGACGGAGATGAGATCGTTGCTGTGTATGGTGGTATTAAGGTAAGTTGAACAATCGTCCGACTATTGTCGAATGAAACACTAACAGAACACAATATAGTTCCAAGGTCTGGCAAGGAAGATCCTCGACATGGCTCTTCCCCCTGGTGGAGCATCAGCACCAAAGCCGGCCGCCAAGCGTGTCCCTGCTCCCATCAATGTCCAGAAGGCAAACCCTACCGTTGTCAAAAAGGCTTCCCCTTCACCAAAGTGTGGATTGCCAAGTCTAGCTACGCGCGCCCTTGCGATCCTGGCTGAAGAGGTTGGACTTGCGGCTTCTGAGCTGGCCGACGATCTCAACTTCGCCGATTACGGAGTTGACTCTCTGCTCTCGCTAACTGTCACTGGACGATACCGTGAGGACATGGGACTCGACCTTGACTCCACAGTTTTCGTCGATAATCCCACTGTTAAAGACTTCAAACATCTTCTAGCTCAAATGGGCCCTTGTGAAAGCAGTGATGGATCAAGCAGCGAAGGCGACATGTCCTCAGCCGCGTCTTCGACCGACTTGTCGTCTCAAAATACTAGTGGCCTGCCAACCCCCGCAAATGAGAAGTCGATGACACACGGATTACAGGAGAAAAATGACAGCATGAAGCTGATTGCCTCAATCTTGGCCGAGGAGATCGGTATTGATCTCGAGGAGCTCGTCGGCGATGCGAACCTTGGCGAGATGGGACTCGACTCATTGATGTCTCTCACAGTTCTCGGTAAGATTCGCGAAGATCTCGATCTTGATCTCCCAGGAGAGTTCTTCATTGAGAACCAAACACTCAACGATATTGAGACTGCTCTGGATCTGAAACCCAAGCTCGCTCCGGCGGAGCCAGTCAGACTCCCCGAACAAATCTCTGTTCAAGCCCCTGTGGTCGCTCCCAGCACTGCCCCCCAGCACCCGCCGGCCACTTCAATTCTCTTGCAAGGAAACCCCAAGACAGCATCAAAGAGCTTGTTCTTGTTCCCTGATGGCTCTGGTTCCGCTACCTCCTATGCTACCATCCCTGGAATTTCCCCAGATGTGTGTGTCTATGGACTGAACTGCCCATACATGCGCACCCCTGAGAATCTCAAGTTCAGCCTAGACGAGCTCACAGCTCCTTACGTTGCTGAGATTCGACGCCGCCAGCCCACTGGCCCTTACAACTTTGGTGGATGGTCCGCTGGTGGTATCTGTGCCTACGACGCCGCGCGCCAATTGATTTTCGAGGAAGGCGAGCGAGTCGAGCGCCTGCTCCTCCTGGACTCACCCTTCCCCATCGGACTAGAGAAGCTGCCTCCCCGTCTATACAGCTTCTTCGACACGATCGGACTGTTTGGAGAGGGCAAGGCGCCTCCCCCTAAATGGCTCCTCCCTCACTTCCTAGCGTTTATCGACTCCTTGGATGCTTACAAGGCGGTTCCTTTCCCCTATACAGACCCCAAGCAGGCAGAAAAGCTTCCCAGGACCTTCATGGTCTGGGCCAAGGATGGTGTTTGCTCGAAGCCAGGTGATGCCCGCCCTGCACCAGCTGCGGATGGCAGTGCCGACCCTCGCGAGATGCTATGGTTGTTGAACAACCGCACTGACCTCGGTCCGAATGGTTGGGATACCCTTGTCGGACCGAAGCATGTTGGCGGCATTACTGTTATGGAGGATGCCAATCATTTCACCATGACTCGTGGTGAGAAGGCCAAGGAGCTAGCTACCTTCATTGCTAACTCTATGGCTTCGGCTTAAACGCAATGCATTTCGGCACATCTATTTCCGGGAGATTTGGACACGGTCCTTTTGTTTTTCTATTTATCTGTTCATTTTGTATGCTACTTACTGTCAATGCAATGTTCTTTCTTTCTTTCCTGTCTTAATATTTCAATGTATACATGATCCATCATTTTTGACCATTCGCTACTTTTTTGGATTAAAATTTAATTTCCGTATACAAAATCCAGATTGAACTTCTACATTTGAAACTGCTTTTTTGGTTTTTAACGACATCAATTCAAAGGCTAGAGAAAATCCAAATACTGAGCAACCTCCACTTCGAGAGGCCAGTAAGAGGTGTACCCTAAAAATAGAACAAAATTACTAAAAAAAACTTGGAACTGGGAGTTGTGGCGAGAAGAACTACAACAGAAATCAAATGAAACAGCAGCTCTTGCTTGGAGATGACACAAGACTCAGATACGCTTGCATCCAAGACCCGCTTTATTCTCGTGAGAGGAAAATCGCTCATGGGTAAATGGCACAGTCGCAATGGATGGAACGCCAGGGAGATGCAATGTCGTAATGAACGGATGAAAGGAATCAAGATCTAGCTAATTTGAATGTGAAATGCTTCGCAAAGACGAAATGCCACGTACAAGCCTTGTGTCTAGACGTCATTGATTGGCCGGGTTGAGGAAAACGCGCGCCAAGAAAATGAATGACAGGGAGGCGTAGGGAAGCATGCGGGAGGTTGAGTAATTTTCTCAGAAAGGCACTTCGGAGCTGTATCGTAGGGCACTCCCCCTACCACCAAGACCGCCATTACCGTTGCCATTATGACCAACCCCTGGGCTGGTCGGACGGCTGCCGGCCCACTTAGGGCTTCGTGGTTGAGTGCTAGTCGAACGAGTTGATGGCCGATTCTTCCGGATTTCACGAAGCTCATCTTCCTTCCGGCGTAGGAACTCGTCGCGCGCAGCAAGAGTTAATTCTAGCTCTTCAATTCGAGCTAGATGACGAGCCGACTCATCCTTCATGTGCAATTCATGGAGTTGAACAGCGTGGCTTTCGGCTCTGCGCTTTAGTTTCTCATTCTCAGCGGCCAAGTGACGGTTATTTGTGCCGGACTGAGCGGCTGCTTTAGACGCAGTTTGATATTGCTCTCGGGTATACTCAGATTGGTTTTTCTCGAACTCAGCCTTGCGTTCGAGGTTCGAATTTTCTTTGGCCAGGCGGCGGATTTCCTCGCGTGCATTCTCCAGTTCAGCAGAACTGCCACCACCATTTTTCAGTGCTTGCCTGGCTTCATCAAGCTCGTGCTTCAACTCTGCCCGTTCTTCTTTCAAACTAGAGATAGTCTCGTTTTGTTTCTCAACGCGCTGTTCCAGAGATGGCTTAGTTTCAGTCACGCGATCACGCTCTTGGCGAATCGCATGGAGTTCCTTCGTCCGGCTCTCGTAACGGTGTTGTAGAATACCTAGCGCCTTCTCCATTTCTTGGAAACGAGAGTTTGCCCGAGCAAGCTCAGCCTGCAACTGGGCCTTTTCACTTGCATGAATGTGTTTCATGTGGATAAGACTCTTCTCTAGTGACTGCAAATCGCGGTCTAGTGTTTGACTGGGGGGCTTAGTTGACTCAGTCAACTGGCTGTTCTCTTGGGTACCGACCCGTGCGCGCTTCGAAGAGTGTTCCTCGGGTTCCTCGTCCTGCTCCGAAGCGTTAGTTGAATCCAGATAAATCAGCATGTACGACACTTACTAGTGTGCGTTTCTGGGTTGGCGGCACCGCTTCATCGGAGGAAGGGCTGTAGCACTCTAATTCTTCCAGTGATACAAGATTCAATGGCTCGATGGTAGGCAAGGGCCAGCCAGTAGAACTATCCAAGAGGTATGCAAGAATCTCTTCAGCGTCTTCATGTACGCCAAGGGCATCATCCTGGAGATCACCGACCTCGTCATGGAGGCGGGCAATGTAGTGCACAAGCAACCGCAATCGATCGGGCTCCGGCAACTCTGGCAAGCAGCGTTCTATGTGTTCACTTGTGTTGGAGACAAGAAACCAGATGACGGGAAGCAAGTTCCCGTTTCGAGCATAGGTAGTTCGGAGGTGCTGTACAGACGGGCTTCTGGGTCTGAAATACGAATCCAACGCGAAAATAGCAGACGGCGGCTTGTAGAGTTCACGGGCGATCTCACTGGAATGAATTCCAAAGCTGAGCGACCCCTTGGCAAGGGAAACTTCTAAGATGCTGCCCATCTCTCCACGGGGTCGGGTATATGCAAAACCCTTTCCTTGGAGGTAACGCTCAAGAACTGCCTGTTTCTTCTCGTCTTGAACAGCAAGAATCAGATGGAGCTCGTTCGTGCCTACAATCTCCATGAGATGACCAAGTAGGAGGAACTTTGCACTGGAGTATTCAGCCCAGGATGCCTCTTTTGCAAGATCGGGATCGGCGTCTTTCAAATGGTCAGAGATGTTCAGGTCTGGATGGGTTGAAACATTGCTCAGTCGCGTGATGACCTCTCGCATATTTAAATGCAAAGCCTCTCGCTGTGCATATGATGTAAGCAATAGAAATCATGTTCAAGAAAGATTTTCCACTTACCTCAGGCTCGGAAATTTGAGAATTCGACTGAAAGCTGTCGAAGAATCGGCGTATGCTTGTAGCTGAGTCTGATAGTACTCGCTCGTAGTCATCTTTCACTCTAGAGTCCATCGGAAGGGTGACGGCAAACTCGGATGGCCCAAGGTGAACTGATCCGGGCGCAACCTCATCATCTATGCCTGTAACGGTCAACGCGCTGGGGTGAATAGTTTGAAGTGAAGGTTGGCTCATATGGCCCCCGTGAGCTAGTTCTGATGGGGGTAGTAAAGGTTCAGAATGGCCGTGGTGGACTGCAGTATGTGAATGGGAAAATGAATCTGTGTCGGGTCTAACACTAAGCGGTGCAGTTGTTTCGGGGACAGACAAAGGAATCGAAGCTTCAATATCTCCAACGGAAGATGGTGTCTCGACAGCGTTAGCGGCTTGCGATTGATTCTCTTGGCAGAGTTGGGCCCAAGCATTCCGCATCTTTTCTGCAGGAGTGGACCCTGACAATTGACTGTATCGGTCCAGAGGAGCATCGGAGAGAGAAGGATCCGATTGCTTGGGTTCTTTGTCTTCCATGATTTCGGTAGATAGTTCTTCTTCCACAAGATTAGAGAAAGAAAGCACTTGTCGAGTGGAACCCTCAGCACCGAAGTTTTCTGGGTGCTGTGACAGGTAGTGACAAACGCTCTCTGGGATGGAGCTCAAATAGGTTGACTGGACAAACTCGGCGTCTGTGAAAATGTGAGCACAATGAAAAACTTGGCGTGGCATGTGACACTACCTATGACGATGGGGCCACACAAGCGAAGATTTTGAGAAGTCAAGTTGTTGTGAGATGCAGTGTTGTCAAGAGGGAAAGTGCCGAGGTACGATAGGTCAGCTCCTGAACCTGGCAGCTGAGCAGGCGTCTCAGCTATTTCGGATACCTTAGATCTAAGACCAAGACCCGGCGTGTTAGGATATGAGAATTCAGGCACGTTGTCGATGGCCGCAGTGTGCTGTCGATGCGATGAGCAGCTATCAATCGAATCGGCCTTTGAATCAAAAGTTGGACCAGGCTGCCGCGTAATGACGTCGTCCCACTCACCTGGTTGCAGGTATTCAGGTGGAAGAGATGACTCGGGGATATATTCAAAAAACGCGAGGTCGGCCGGAGAGCGGGAGTTTGTTGATGCAGCCGCCAGGGGCGAAGACCAATCTTTGAGAGATTGGAATGGAGAGGTCGTCCCGTTAAAGCAGCCCGAGGCTTCAATGAACTGAGACTGAAGAGATTCTACTATCTCTGAAAGGCCCTCTTGTTGCACAAATAGCGATGACGAAGCTCTGGAATTTTTGTCAATGTGAGCGTCCTTCTGCTCGCTCTCATCGAAGGGTGTGCGGTAGCGGTCCTCTGGTCCTATATTTGCATCTGGGGATGAGGAAGACACCTCGATTATGCAGGGCGATTGAGTAATTCTCTCACGCGTCGATTTTCGCTCACTTGATCGCCGAGCTTTCCGCTTGTTCCAGACCCGTACAGCAAGCTCACTCGCGTTCTCTTTGGGTTCCTAAACAGGCAAAGCAAGCGCATTTGTTAGCTCAAGCTCAGCAAGCATTCATTTGATCCCTTTTATGTCCAGATATGCCACAGAAACTCACCCAGGTTGGATCGTAAGGACCTTCCCAATCAATAAGATACTTGGTGTCTGTTTCACGCAGGATACACTTTATAGGCCACTCCTGGTCGTCCGAGTCACTACCGTCGTTGCTTTCACTGCTATCGCTAATAGCCACAGTGGTAGCTGGAGGCCGGTCAGTATTCTTTCTGTGGTGACTATCGAGTTTCGTCGGGTGAGGCTGCTGCCGAAACATCATGTGCAGGCGATTGGTGTCGGGGAGATGTTGGATAACATGGCGGGGGTGAAGTGAGAGTGTAGGTTCAATACTCAAGTAAAGCTCATACGAGCTGCATTGATCCGAGACACATACAATTTCCAATTCTGAGAAACATCTAACACTTCCCCAAACAATGCGAAGGTAACATGAAAGAGGGTAAACGCACGGCGCGACGGACGGACGGATAGTGAGACCGCTTCACGTGATAACGCTTATCGGCTATAGATCTACATTATTTGAGAAAAGTGACATGTTGGTCAAATAGTCATTGGGTTATTTGACAGTAGGAATTCAAAGTTGCAAAGCTGTTGTATTTCTAATAAATTTAGATCACCGTCGATGTTATAGATGCAGGTTGAGATGTGATCATGACTATCACCATCAGTTTTCATCTTGGTGCCTCTTCCACTCTTTAAAGCTGAAACCAAGCTCTGCTAGATTCTTGATCTCGCTCCGCTTGTCGCCTCGCTGTACGAAAGCACGCCTAATTTCTGGGAAATTTTTCCGCATCCATCTTTCCTGCTCACCCCACCGAGTACCAAGTTTGCCTTGTCCATTGTTAGACAACCCAGCTCGGTGCTTGGCCTTTTCCGCCCAGTCATAGAGAAAATTGAGGTAATCAGCATCCATTGGAAATGGAAGCCGGTGAAAATCTTTTCCATCTCCTTTGGCATCAATTTCAGAGTTTTCCCATGCCTTCATCTCATCTTTGGGTGGAAGTGTCAGCCGTGCGGACCACACACGAGAGAAGACAGCAGCGTGGTTCTCAGCTAGTGAGAATGGAATAACCTGCTGCGAAAGAACCGGGAAGACAAGAGTGGGGTGGTCTATATAGAACAACTGCTGGTAGACATTCATTGTTCGCCAGCCGTGGGTCACAGCCGGCGGGTTGAGTGAAGACAGGAAAGGATATGAATAGAAATATCCGGTGCAAAAAACAACGGCGTCAATCCGTTCCTCAATGCGACCATCCGCAAATTTAATACCTCTGTCATAGGCTGTCGGAGGAAGAAACTCGACTATCTCCGGGCAGATGATTGTATCGCCATTTGGGGGTGCAGCCATGTAGGATTCAGATCGTTGGGAGACCAACAGTTTGCCTTGGCTTACTTCATTGATCTGGGCACCGATGTCAAGCCCCGAAGCAGAACTTCCTACTACGACCACTTTCTTTCCTCGGAAAGGTTCTGGAGAGTTGAAAAACTTGGAATGAGAGATCACACCCGGATATGATGCATCCCATGTTTGTATTCCTGAGATTTCTGGTACATTTGGGACAGTGAAATGGCCACTTGCAACTACCACAGCATCATAAGTGTGGGTTCTGTCGATGCCAGTTGGAAGACTCTTTGTTGTTATACTCCAGGTGCTTAGATTTTCGTCCTTAAGTTTCACTTCTAGGACTTGTGTCTCCAATTGAATGAGGCCTTTGACATCTGTGGCATACTCCTCAAGGTATTGTTTAACCGTCCAGTGTTTGGGAAAGAGCTGGGTTTCCAACGGGAAGGCCTGATCCGAATAACGCATCAATTCCTTAGGTATGTTGGTTTCCAATCGATCGTATATCGGAGACACAAATGTTGCCTCACGCCCCTCCGTGTGATCGATCCACACCGGCTTCTCGACAGGCTCATGAGGGGTTAAATGTGGGACAGTTGTTGACATCCCTTTTTTAGAGGAACTTGGTGTGTAATTCCAGACTCCACCCACGGAGCTTCTTTGCTCGAAGACATCAATTTGATCGAAAAATTTCTCGGCGAGCAGGTATCTGAGTCGGTCAGCATCGTGGGATGTTGGGGGCGAGTAGTAACAACCCCGCTTACTTGACTGCAGCAAGGCCAGAGGGCCCTGCGCCGATGACAGCTACTCGACGAATAAGATTTGTGATTGTCATATTTCCAGCGATCTTCAGAGACTTTCAGCAAGTGTCAGAGTTAAGGATATTCTATGTCTGTTCTAGGAATGCGAGTTGAGTAGCGTGATAGAACTGGCCTCGAAGGATGCTTAGCGCTTTCGCCATAGTGGAGCTTTGCTCTATAGCTGGTATCTTGTACAGCATTTACCAGGGTGCAATGAAGATACAAAGAACGTCAATATGTGCAAGATAAAGAAAGGTATATCAATCTACTCAAATTCGAAAGTAGTATCTCTACGAGCAACTTTCTTTGGACATGGACAATCCAATGAGGGCGGTAATTTTGAATTTCACAATACGTGAATTACGTGTTTCTCCTGTTTTTACTGTACCATTACCAGACAGAGCTCCAGCGCATCGCCTCTTTGTTGAACGAATTATTCCTCTGCATTTCCTTTCGGCTCTTGGTCTTCTTTAGTCGCATTTTCTTTTCCTCGCCTCTGTATTTTATCTCAACTATTACTGTTTGACATGTAAACAGCTTGACAAAACTACAGTCGGGCGTGGGAAAACCGGCGCAATGAATGCAGTTGAGCAGTCTCCCGAGCAGTCACTTGCGCCGAATACGCTGGCGCATTTGACCAGAGTTCCGATAGCTCAGCTTTCTCCCGACCTTGAGCAATTGGACGAAAAGTCTTTTCTTGCAGCTATCGCACTTGTGTGGCCCTACTCCTCTTCGACCAAGTCTGTGAGTCTTCTGTTAGCGGAGCCGGATTTCCGCCTGAGGGGCGCCAAAGGACAAATCAAGGTCACGTTTCATGGACACGTTGCGGAGAAAGTTGCGGAATCGCACGTCGGAATCGGTGATACCGTTTGTCTCGCTCTGAAAGGTACCAAGTTTGTTAGCAACGAAGCTGTCCAGAAAACCCCGGGAAGGTCTGTCGCGTGGGATGCGCACTTTGAGAATGGGGTGTCTCTCGAGGTATGTTGCTCCCAGTCTTAATCTTTGTCTTACGGAGATGTGTCATACCAAGATTTAACTCTGTCCATCCAGATCTGCCGATCTTCCCAACCCCCGTTGACAATATTGGTTGATCATCAAGTGGCAGCTCCACATGAAACCGAACTAGCACCACCTGCAACTCCTAATGGGAAATCAAACAATCCCGAACTCGGCCTGGCTTTCAGTGCACGTCCCTGGGGATCACCTGTATTCCTCAAGTCTACTCGAACCTCATTCGGAGGAACCATCCGTTCCGATTTCGATCCTTTTGCGGAAGAAGATGGATTTGTGCCAGGGAAAGGAAGAAAAAAGCCAAGATACAGTTTGCACAGGGAAGATTGGCGCATTATCAATGAATCAGAACCCTCCCATGAGGAAGAAGCCCCTATGGATTGGGAACAGGCTTTGAATCAATCGATCGATCAAGAGCTCGACGAGGCAGATTTGGCGAGTGAGCCCTCGGACGACCCAACGACAGATGCTGCCCAAGCTCCAACCAACACAGAGGATACATCACAAGAGCCACCTCCGTTGTTCTTGAAGCCACCCCTGGAATTGACTGAGAGCATCCTTGAAAGACATGCTGACGAGTCGAATGTTTTGTCGCATGAACAAGTTGAGAATCATGGGACACCTTTTCATCTGCCAACGGATACACCGCAGATTCGACCCATTCTATCTCCGGGGCTTCCCATTCCTTCGCCCCTTGTTTCTAGTCATGGTGGCTCGGCTAGCTACTTCCTGCCCTGGACCACGCTCACACAGTCCAAAGAGATTCGATCTGTTCCTGTAGAAATGAGCGCCATAGCAACGCCCGCAGCATCCTTGATCGAAACCCAGGACACCGATGCCATCGAACCCATTCACAAAGAGATAGCGGAACCAGCTGTTCCGAATATTGAAGCCATCCGGCATGAACATGCATTCGATTCCGGTTTTGTCTTTCTCGATGATTCAGCATCACCTCCAGGCTCGGCAAGTTTACCGAAAAAACAGGAATTTGAGACGATCGACTCCTGCAGAGCTATCTTGGAAACAGATGTAGTTGAAGCTGACGTGACCATCAATTTCACCAGCGGCGAAGCTCAAATGTCAAATGAAGCAGCGCGTGGGCATGCTTCCGATGATAACCCACCCCGCGACCTTTCAGTCCCACTTTCAATTCCGGAAGGTAAATCAGATGATTCCTTTGATTTCAACGAAGAATCCGCCGCCGCTGAAGCTAGCACTGGTACCGAAAATGCCGTTGACGAAGCTTCAAAATCATTTAAAACAGATGACGAAAGAATTATAGACCTGTGGGGCGATGATTCAGCCCCATCTTCGTGCTCGGATGAGAGCTCAGATGATGAATCACTTGGATCCTCACAGGAGATGGATGGCTCAGATATTGGCCAAGCTGATCTTGGCATAGAAACTGCCAGCAACAATGTGGGGTCTCCTCAATATCCGGGTGGATCTCATGAGGAACATTCTGAGCCAGAGTCCCAGTCGGTAAACTATCCAAACCCAACCTCTGCCTTAAATCAGGATGCGATCGATGCCCTCGAAAGCTTGATAACCGCCCGAGATGAAGAATTCGAAAGGAAGAGAGAGGAAACAGAATTGGGAGATGAAGTCGGTAGTTCACCCAGTCAAGGATACAGTGAAGAAAAGGAGGAAACGCTCAAGGATCAAGAAATGCACTATGCTGAGTCAGTGGAAAGTTACGATTCACAAGATGAATATGAAGAGCACGGGCAATTTCCTTGTGATCCGCGATTGGACCAAGATGACTTTAGTGTCGCTGGGTCCAGTGGTGAAAAGTCTGAGCAAGGACAGAACCTGCCTCCGCAGACGGAAAACCACGAAGTAATCGTGCTTGACAGTGACAGCGATGATGAGCATGCTTCCAATTATCCGGTGGCCTCAGCTTTCCAGCCAAAAGAACAAGAGGATCACTCACACTGCCTTGAATCCGGACATCCAGCTGTCCCTCCAGCTGCAGCCGATTTTTCAACCGGTATATTGGAATATCCAGAGCCATGGTATGTCGGTGGAGAGGATGGCTATCACCGAGCTGTGGAAGATGATTCAGATGTTGTTCAGCGCCAAGAAAGTGAGGAAAGTGAAGAGCGTGAATACAACCAACAAGATGGTCGAGTTGACGAGAGTGGCATGGATGATGACGAGTCCACCCGAGACCACCACGAAACGGTGCATCCATCTGATGTGGCATCACCCAGCCCTGAGCAGGACGAAGATGAAGACATGGAAGATGTGGAGCTCAACGAAGAAGCTGACAACAACGAATATTATGCTACGGCCGAACTTAGCGCAGATGTAGAAGTGTCTGTTAATCGGGACTCTGATGAGGGGCAATCAGGCAATATTGATCAAAATTTGCTTGATGTGGGTGAATCTCATCATCAAGGCCCACCCCCGGAAGTCGAAAGTCATGCTGGGCGGTATCTCACTGGGGACGCACAATCTGATTTGCACATTCCTTCATCTGCTAGAAACATCATGGCCAAGTTCATACTGAGAGATACGCCGACTATCGAAGGACCCGAGCCCCTTGGCGGTCGAATCGCACCGTCTGTTAGGCCTCCACTTGGGCGACAGCTCTTGGCCCCAGACCCCACCCAGGAAAATGCATCCATGCGTGAACCAATTCATGATTTTGAATCGGACAGTTCCTTCGCGATTGAAGAACATGAAGCTCCTACTGGTCTAGATGAAAGTTTGCAACCTGCTGGCTCCCAAGAGTCCGACCAAGATGAGATTATCAGAGCCGACCTCACAAAAAACGCCCGGCAAGAGCTCCACGTTGATGAACATGATGATTCCATGGCTTCTTCGGAACTCGCTGAAGCCGTGGAACCCCCAACAACGCCCGAACCTAGTCGCTCTTTGGAGGTTGTGATCAGCACTAAATCCCCCAAAGCACCGGCAGTTCCTGTTTCACACCACCCTGTCCCTGACCGTAATGCCTCTAGACTACGTACCAAGCTTTGTTACTTCGCCCCACTTGCTACACTCATCGATCGCTATGATTCTTCAGTCGATACCATCTCAATCGTGCACGAGGCTTCGCCGATAACCCGAGCCAAATCCGGTTTGAAATTATGGTTCGTGACTATCCAACTTACCGATCCCTCCATGGCCGGCACGACTCTTCGTGCTCAGATCTTCCGGCACTCCAAGGCCTCGATGCCGGTATTGGCGGAAGGCAACGCTATCCTCTTACGCGACTTCAAGGTCCGCAATCTTGATCACACCGTGATGCTTACCAGCGTCGATTCAAGCGCATGGGCAGTTTTCAGCAGTTCGGGTCCTGATGCCGAGACAAACGGACCCCCTGTTGAATATGACTCGCAGGAACGTGCCTATGCGTCTGGCTTACGTCGATGGTACGTTGAAGTTGGCTCGGATAGAGTTGCAGACCATATGCTCCAGGCAGCTATCGAGAGAGACAGCGAAGAGAGTGGTATGACACCAAGCGGTCAAGTGCCAAGCGAGTCAGGAAGTCCAGACTCCAAGCGTGGTTCCCAGCGCAAGCGCAAAAGCAATCGAAGAGTCACTATCCATGAGCTTCGGGATGGCACTCGTTACACCGAGGTCGGGCCCCCAACCAGTCGAAACAGCAGTGTTCACGAGTTGCGGGATGGCACGTTGTATGCTAATATTTGAACTGGTCGTCTTGATATCTTGATACTTGACCTGGTATTTGCCACAGTTCCCATGTACCTACTAAGTAAACAAATGAATTCACATGAACAGAGCAAAATTCCTTGGCAGTACTGATAAATATCGGCATCTCTATTCTCCAGGAACAAATGTCAACAACCATCACATCTACCATAACCGCTCTCTCTATCCTATACAACTACACAGACAGCACTTTTTCACCTCTCACTTCCCATAACATTACCCTCTCAGTCAACCTCATCAAATTCACCGTCGCATATTTATATCAGGTACTGTCAGGGATAAAGCCAAAACCGAAAAGGCTGAGCCGCGCTTGGCCGGTTAAGAATGTACAGGGGATACAGGTGACCCTCCTGGTTCTTGCTCCTGGGCCATCTTGAAGAGGTAACGAGGAGAAGGCGGGACATATGGTTCTGGGGCTTGGAATGCGGCTCAACAACAGCATTTCCATGCACGGAGTCGATTTTCTTGCGTGCTCATAGGTCAATAAAGAGGCTGGCATTTCGAAAATTCTTGAACTAACGAAGGGCTATGTGACTTGATACCAGGTGCTTACTATGCAGAGCAAGTAGTAAAATGAGTGTGCGTTTTTAAATGAGTAAGTGCCTACCTCTGATTATCCTACTTCGTAGGCTTGATTACATTCCCTATCCTCTGGATCTGCGCGTTTGGTTCCTCCTACCTTCTTCACTAGGCACCTAAGTTAGGGATGTTGTAAACTGCGTTTGTGACGCGGAATCTATTCACCAGTGCTCTTTCAACTAGCCCGCATGTTCTAGTGTCTGTTTGATTTTTTTTTTGGTTTCAAAATTACCCCTTGACTTCGATACCCCATTACTAATTGCTACAATTTGACAGTGATTTAGCTTGCTTTCTACTGTTCAACTGTGCACTGCATGCCTTGAATGTGATTGAGAATTTTAAAAAAGCGTAAGATTGCGATTTGAACAAACGAAGGCGTAAGATGTAATAGAGAAGGCAAAAAACGACTCTGAGTGTGCATACAATTTATCACCAAATAAATTGCTAGACTACCTATCTTCAAAACTCAACTCAAACTGCGAATCAAATAGAAGAATACGCGCTTGGCATAGAGTTTAACCTGAAGCATCTACATGTTCCAACGAGCATCGCCTTGATCCTGCGCCGCGAGCATTCCAAGGTACCACAATGCCAACGGGACCGGTTGTGGTTGTGAAGGGCTTCCGCCAAGCGCAAAAGGAATAGATGTTGCCAGTTCCACCCAGCCGATGTTATTGGAACGTCGGAACACAACCAGCTCTCGATCGGTAAGAATAAACCCGTAGCGCGATCCAGGCTGCTTTAAGTACCAATTGACTTGACTAAGTGCTTGGCGGTACTCGGCACGTTTGTTAGGTGAAGGATGCCCCATCAGGCTAGTGTTCCATTTCCAAGACGGCTTGATGTCCCCAGGAGCACGGTTCGGACTAGTGTCTTGCGGAAGCCCAAGCGCAAAAATAAGCCGTGTCAGGTAAGAAGTTGTCAATGACTTTGGCTGACTCTCCAACATAAAAAAAGATACAGCCGTTAAAACCATCCACCTGGTTTAACATGGTCAAATTGTTGAATCCAGTGCGGAGGGCACGACGAACTCTGGTGAAAACAATTTTCGGTAACATTGATCTGCAGGGCATTCTCTGTTGAATAAATGGGAGATGGAGAATGTGGCATAGGACTTGGTGGCCGTTGCGCTTGCGTAAGGACATGTCCATATCTCCCAAGAATATGGCTTTTAGGTTGAATCCGGGACCAAAACGTAGTTCTACTAATGTCTTCTGAGGTGTATGCACTGTTCGATGTGTTACGCGAGACCACCCGGGGTGGGTTGATTGGGATTGTTGGTAAGGCATGTTGCAAGAAGGACAATAAGTTTCATTCGCCATACCAGCGATATACCACAAAGCAGATAGAATCGTAGTAGAAATTGTAGTAATGTCACAAATCTGGTGAGAAAACACTGCCATTTATCTGAAGGGAAAGGGTTGGCCACCAAAAATATCTAACAGGCTTCTAAAATTTGGTCTTTGTACGTACGCTGTTCTATTGGCTTAGATTGCAAGTGATTAATCTGTTGTCGGCTATGCAAGCGCTTTGAAAGGACGGGCGTAGAGAATTCAGTATCCCCACTACTAGCCAATCAAAAAAGATCGTACCAACAAGACTTCTGAATGGCGATCTTTTACGAAATGGGGTTTCGTATAGTTACTACCTGGACTGAGAAGAGGTGGAGGTCTAAATCCATCAATGATATATGTAGTGGTGTCCTTGACACGTGTAGAAGAACAAACAGGATTTTACATCTTAGACTGCTTCTCTACGGCAAAATAATCTGCGCTCACAGCAGCCTGGATCAACTGATTGGCAATGGCCGTAGGAGGGGGCAACCTCAATCCACCCTTGAATTCCGGACCAGCCTGAGAACCCAAGTCACTTACACCAATACGCAGCGCCTCTTCCACCTCATCAATCTCAAACCACCGCGCATCCTCCAACTCAGGGTCATGTTGTAAAGAGATCGTCTCATGGGCGGGGTCACTGACCTGGGCAATAGCACCAATCATCAAATTGGCCGGATACGGCCAGGGCTGCGAGGAATGGATAACAACGCGGGACAAAGTGACGCCCGATTCTTCCCACACCTCTCTTCGCACAGCATCCTCAATCGACTCAGCTGGCTCAATAAATCCAGCCAGGGTAGAGTAAAATCCTAGCGGGAATCTCTTGGACCGCCCGAGCAAGATCCGCTTGCCGTCGGCGGAAACCACCGCTACGATGATAGTCGGATCGGTACGGGGGAAGCAAAGGTTGGACAGTGTGGTACGGGTATTACACTCCGGCCGTTGTTCCTCCTTGCCCTCTGTTGCTCGTGCAACATCAGTCGGCGGGCAGGCACGCTTGGTCCCTGCATTTACGGCCAGGGTGCGGTGGCCGCATGTGCCGCAGAAGGTGTTGCGAGTGTTCCAATCCATCAGCGCGCGCGCCTGCGCGTAGATAGCAGCTATTCCGAATTGATGAGTTCCTTTTGATCAAACAGGACATTACAAATGCATCGGCGTACCTTCATCTGCGGAGAAGGACATGACAACTCGTGCTTGGAAGAAAGACAGTCCTTTCGCCTCCATGGCACCGATCACGTCCTTCGCTGCAGTCTGCTGCTCTTCGGGGCCCTTAGGGGTCACATCGACTGCAAAATACGGCGTGCCAGAGTATATCTTCCACGCCATCCCCCCTTCCTTGAGACTTTCGTCCAGTCCGAGGAATATAAGCGTCGGGTGTGTCTTCCGCGAATCATAGCTCTTGATCATGTCTTCCTCGGAGGTATCGAATGTATCCTGGGGCACAAGCTTGCGGATATCGTCATACTTGGCAAAGTATAGCTGCACCGGCGACGGGGTTAAGGGCGCTAGGTTGTTCAACAGTACAAATCGGGCCGAGGGGTGTTTCAGAGCCGTAGACAGGAACGGGTGGTCGGAGCGCAAGAATGATAGACGGTTAATTGGAGAGCCTGCACATGTTTTAGGTTTACTGCGCGCCCCATATATGAGAGTATAAGATTTCAAGACGTTCTTACTGGAGAAGTAATTGACCGTCTCTTTGCCAAAGTGTCGGGACAACATGGAATCCGCAAGCATATGAGCCGGGGTGGGGATCTGAGGGGTCGTGCTCATTCTGCAAGAACGAAGTTACTAGTAATGAATTTCTAATATGGTTAGCATATAGCAAGAAAAACCCAACGAATCATGAATCTATGTGCAAGATATCCAAATATGTCGAAAAATGTCAAAACCAGCACAGACAGCCATGGAGGGCAGAGGAATCACATTAATCAGCGGCCGGGGCATCGGGACGTGTATACGAACGGATTACAATTGTTCGGTCGGAGATAAGCCGATTCTACCGATGGAAGAATATATTACAGTAACTTACAGTATTACTATTACTAGTGAAGCGGGGGAACCTGCGCTCCCCACACACGTGACCGGATGCTTTTGACTCTTATCGCCGACGAGCTTCTCTGCGAAGCGCAAGATACAGACGTCTCAGTCATATTAGGCACCATGGGACACCTGGTTACTCTAGCAACATGGTAATGCTGACCCATTTACTACCTGGGTACTAGAATACCCCGTACTCACTCTTTCTAGCTCTTTGAACCAGTGGGCTCTCGACTTTGAGGGCAACGCGGAGCGTATCATTGAAAGCATTCGGCAAGCTAAGGCTGCTGGTGCTACTTTGCGCGTTGGACCGGAGCTCGAGATTACCGGCTATGGAGTTCTGGATGGTTTCCTTGAGGGCGACACCTTCTTGCACTCATGGGAAATGCTCGCCCGCATCATCGACCATCCCGACTGCCAGGATATTGTGGTTGATGTGGGATTGCCTGTTCGCCATCGCAATGTGCGCTACAACTGTCGGTGAGTGTTTCCGATGCTTTGGGTGTCGCACTAGCTGATATAAACTCTAAGTGTGATTTTCTACAACCGGAGGATCGTCCTGATTAGGCCAAAGATGTGGCTTGCCAATGGCTCGTTCAATTGCTCTCTATGTATCTGGGAATAGTTGCTAACATCATTATTTATCCTAGATGGCAACTATCGTGAGCACAGACACTTCACCCCATGGCAGCGTCCGCAGGAGGTGGAAGACTACTACTTGGAATCAATTGTTGGAAAGGTGACTGGCCAGTACAAGGTTCCATTTGGTGATGCCGTTATCAGCACGAGAGACACATGTCTGGGTCTTGAGACGTGTGAGGAGCTGTTTACTCCGAATGGGTGGGTGTTGGAATCTCTATGCGACTGTGGATGCTAACAATCGAATTCAGGCCTCATATTCCATATGGCCTAGCTGGTAAGTCTCGATGTCCAGATGCCCGCGCTCCTTGTCTAATTTGGAGTAGGTGTTGAGATCATCTCCAACTCTTCGGGTAGCCACCACGAACTGAAGAAGCTTGACACTCGGGTTAATCTGATCACTCAGGCTACCAAACTGGTGAGTGAGACGCAACGCTAGCTACAATAGGATAGCACTCTTTCTTACGCCTTACAGAGCGGCGGGATCTATCTTTATGCCAATCAGCAAGGCTGCGACGGCGATCGCCTGTACTATGACGGATGTGCTATGATTGTCGTCAACGGTGACATCGTGGCCCAAGGTTCACAGTTCTCCCTCAACGACGTGGAAGTCATCACCGCAACAGTCGACATCGAAGAAGTCCGCACCTATCGGTGCAGCGCAAGCCGTGGAATGCAGGCCAGCAAGCAGTCGCCCTATGTCCGCCTTGATCTTGATATCAGACTTTCTCGCCGGGATGAAGATGCCGAGCCTAGCCTCGCGACTGCTCAGCCTATCAAGGCCCGGTACCATTCTCCAGAGGAGGAAATTGCTCTGGGACCCGCCTGCTGGCTATGGGATTATCTTCGGAGATGTGGAGCCGCGGGTTTCTTCCTTCCTCTGAGCGGTGGCATTGACAGCTGTGCCACGGCAATCATTGTGCACTCCATGTGTCGCGAAGTGCTCAAGGCAGTGCGGGAAGGAAACAAGCAAGTCATCAAGGATGTCCGCCGGTTATGTGCGAAGCCAGAAAATTCAGATTGGCTTCCTACCACAACCCAGGAAATTTGCAAGTAAGTCTTCCAAGTGTTGAGTCTGCGCCAGGTCGTCAAATTTCTCTATTGTCATGCTCTTGGTAAGAATTGACCGGTTCTTCTAGATCTATCTTCCATACCAGCTACATGGGCACACAAAACTCAGGCCAGGAGACACGAGACAGAGCGACTCGACTGGCCAGTGATATTGGTTCTTACCACATTGACTTCAACTTCGATACTGTGGTCACTTCTATCATGAATCTCTTTACTGTCATCACGAACTTCCAGCCTCGTTTTAAAATGTACGGCGGATCTCCCGCGGAAAATGCCGCGCTTCAGAACGTGCAGGCTCGACTCAGAATGGTTCTCTCATATCTGTTTGCCTCGTTGTTGCCCACTGTGCGTCAACGCCCCGGCGGTGGCGGCTTGCTCGTCCTTGCATCATCTAACGTTGATGGTAAGTTTCTCAAACATGAACACCATGACTTGTTGGACATCTCCACTAACCGTTATTACAGAATGGTACACCACAACAAATGCACTTATATTTTTCCTGATGACTGACTCAATCCATCTAGTTTGCGAGGCTATCTCACCAAGTACGATGCCAGCTCCGCCGATGTAAGCACCAATTTCCGCACGTCCAGCACCACTCCTACTCCAGACTAACCAAACAACCAGCTCAACCCCATCGGCTCTATCAGCAAAGTCGACCTTAAGAAATTCATTTCCTGGTCCGGCCAAAACTTTGGCCTCCCAATCCTCGAAGAATTCATCCACGCAACACCCACTGCCGAGCTGGAACCCATCACACACGACTACGTTCAATCCGACGAAGCTGACATGGGCGTTACATACGCACAGCTGGGCGTTTTCGGGTACTTGAGGAAGGTCTCGAAGCTAGGCCCGTACTCTATGTACGAGAAGCTGCTCCACCTTTGGGGTAACGAGTACAGCCCGCGCGAGATCTACGACAAGACCCGTCATTTCTTCTACTACTACTCTATCAACAGACATAAGATGACTGTTCTTACGCCTAGCTACCATGCTGAGCAGTACTCTCCTGACGACAATCGTCATGATCTTAGGCAGTTCCTTTGTATGTTTTTTTTTAAAAAAAAATTCTTTGGTTTGTGAGTTGGTGCTAACTTTGCTTGATTAGACCCGCCGTTTACTTGGGCGTACAAGAAGATGGAAGAGAATGTCAAGTACTGGGAGTCCAAGGGGTGGACTACTGGCAAGGGGGCGAAGAAGAGTGTCAAGGCTGATTAGATGTAGATCATATGTGTTTAAGGATTCTCATGATGTTTAGTGTACCTAGCTTGGCCTAATTCTTGCTTGATATTCAAGTCTCCGTGGCATTAAGACTGAATCATACGCGGATGCTTGGACAATTTCCTATCAGATATCAAACTACCTCGTGTGTACTTTCCCATATAGCATGTGGGGGTAAGGGGAAATGGATGAATTTGGATAGAGCTGGGTGGCTCGAAAGCACAGAAGGAAGCAAACTGCAAAGAGATAAAAAGGGAACGCCATCCGGAAAGCCCGTGGAACATGCAACTAACAAATTGATGGAACGCGCTGAAGAGTCAGACATTAAAGGAGGTCATGTTAAAGGTCATCGCCAGGGAAGATCGGCGTTCATTGTAAATGTTATCCAAATAGAGATCTAGTCTCTCCACAACCAACCGTTCTTTGAAGTGTCGGACTCAGGTTTGGAACTTCTCTGGGGATGAGATACCTCAACAGACTCATCACTTTCCTCTCGACCATCTGCGAAACGCCTCGTGTTGACGATCTTGCTCTCAACCGAGCCATCCGGAAGCCGCACACGTTCCGTTCGAGTCATAGTGGAGACGACACGAGACTGCGCTGGTTCCGAGACAGCGTCGGTTGGCTTGGTATCGATTTCGGCCGGCAAATCCATGGGTGTTTCCGGGACAGATTTCTTGTTTCCGCATGATACAAGATCAATCCAATTCTCATTACCGTCATGGCTGTGCTGATTCTCAGCCTTTGAAGAGCTGCCTCTGTATTTCACAAGTTCTTCCGGTTGCTGTCGTCGCTCCTCAAGGAGGAGACGCAGAAGAGGGCTCTCGGAGACACCACGGAAGAACTCGCGTTCGCGATTTTCAATGTCATACAAAAAGCGCTCATACAGATCCAGCTCGCTGTCAGCCTCCTTCGTATCTGTAACGACTTTCTCTTTCTCGGATGAAGACTGAGGCTGAGACCGGTCTTGCTCCGGGCCTGCACGACCAGAGAACGTAATGCCTGACCAAGGCTGGCCATTTGTTCCAGGCACATAATTCCACTTATCTCCCAAGCTGCCTCTTTTCACAAGCCCTTGTAGCCAATCCTTTCCGGACTCAGATCCCGCGATGGAGGCATTGCGATCAAGCATCGGCTTATCGTTCTCTAGTCGAAGCAGATCCTCAAAAGCTTCTTGCCACTGCGGTTCGGAGTGGCCACGGTCGGAGTTGAGATGCAACGATGACATGAGAGACGAGAAACCGCCCTTTCCATGGTGTGCTTGGTATTGCGCTTGGCGTTCTAGATGGAGAGGCGAGTATGGGCTGAACAAGATATATCCGATCGGCCAGGTTGGAGAGTCAGTGCCCTCAAACGTATCCCGGAGGAGACGGTTGTGGCCGGAGTTTAGAAGTTGCGATGCGAAAGGGAAAAAGCGGTCCTCGAAGAACCCGTCGAAGAAGGAATCGAGGCCAAAGAAGTCGGATGGTCCATGATACCACCTTCTCCACAAACTATCGCTCTCAGGCCAGTGTGGTCGTACTTTCTTTTCATAGTTGAGTGGATCGTTTCCATCTCTGTTTCCCGGATGACCACTTCCACTATCTCGATCCGCTGGACAGCTGCTGTTGTCCGTATAATCACCAGTTCCTTGGCGAGCCATCCGGTTCTGGTAGCCGTGAGTGTCTGCAAATACATCCCAGTGGCTGTTATGAGGCTGTGTCACCATCGAAGGGAGGCCTGTGATAGATTGAAGCATCATGGAGACCTGCTCATCGGCGTAACGCCGGAAGGCGACGAACGGGTTATGGTTATCATCATCAGGCCAATCCTTCTGAGTCGAAACGTCCTTGCGTTTGATATCTTCATTTCCCATAATTGCAAAGATTGGAAAAACAACAATCGATATTACCTTGGTAGGCTGATGGAGGGAAAACTGCAGAGATGCTGAGTTGAATACATGTTGGGGAGCCCCACTCTGCCTCACGTGATCCCCAATGAAATTTTGGTTCGTTTTGTTTTTTTTTTCGATTGATTTTTTTCATGTGCCCTATTACTGACTTTACAAGTAGTGCTCTATGAATTTCAATCTAATTTAATTCTACTTGAAAACTGCTCAACCAACGTACTATTAGCATGTACTCTGCATAAACTCTGCATAAACCCAATTTCGTTGAGCCGCTGGCGTCATCCCAAGGTTAAAGACCCACTGCAGCTAAAGCGGGAACCATAGTTAACTCTCCGAAGTATGGGGACATGAGTCAAATTTTTAACATTTTTGGAAAAGGATGGAGAACGTTAGTCCAGACTTCTTAACGAGTAATCTGGAATTAAACGAGCAGCTATTTTTTTAAGGCTTTTGGCTAGAAGCATCGGTGCTGTCTTAAGTATCCTCGATCCTCCGTATTGGCTTCATGTCCGTTCCGTTGAAAATGCCTTTTACGACCAGGGTGTTGAAGGTCATAAATTTCCTTATCCAAGGATAATCTAGGTGTTGCGGATCTTGGCTCGGCCGGGGTGATCCAATCAGTTTCCAGAAAGTTAATAATATGACCTGCGAATGGTTGTCCCTTTACACCTTGCCCTAAGAAAGAGGGATACCCATGAAATGTTGTATATATCGTAGTGACTATTCTTATCACAGAACTAAAAATTTTTTTTTCAAAAAAAACCCCTCCTACCGTACACAGCCGGTGTTCTCTAGTGTAACCGATCTCTAGTCTGTCCATGGATCCCTTGCCATGGTTATAGCGAGTCCAACTTCTCAATGTCAATGAACAATCCAGGTAGGAGCTCAGCCTTTCCTTCTTTTAACCCATAAAAAACCAGCCGAATGGACGCATCTCCTCCAGACAGGGAAACCCCATGCTTGCCAGCCGTCGAGCCAGAAGGAACTTCATAGTTCCAGGGTCCACCAAATACCGCATCATATGCACTCTTGAAGTTTGAAATCTCTCCATCAGGCACGGGCACTGACACAGAAGAAATGCCCAGCACGCCATTCGGATGTTGAGCGAGATTTGGCTCAACCTCATAAGGGACACGGTTTGCGCGAGGTGTTCTGTCCAGACACCAGAAGGGCAGAGATCCGGGAACTACCTTTCCTTGACCATCTTTAGGGACACAAACCGCCCATTTCAACACGGTGCCATCTGGTTTGGTACGACCGCCAGCGATAGGGTCCGTATAGAAAGCACTGGTAACAGCGCCCTGGAATCGTTGTTGGACAGCGCTAAAGTCGTTTTCCGATCGCAAAGTAAATGCCCAGTCGATGATGGTGTCTTCTTTCTCGTTTCCCCAGCGATGATTCCGGCGTTTTTCCGGGTCGATGTCATCGAAGAATGCAATCAGTTCAAGGTAAACACCATCCGGGAGGAGAATCAGTTTGTTCGTGGTGAGTCCATCGGCGTGGGTTCCACCTGGTGCCAGTGTGAATTGGCCCTCAATATAATCGGAGATTCCGAGGAGTGTTTTGTGGGAAACGAGGAGGACGATATGGTCCAGGATAGGAGTTTGTTCAGACATCATGCGATATAGCTGTGAGAGGTCGGATTTGACATCAGATGATATTGTCGAGGCAGAATGAAGGATCCAACATTCCCCGCGTCGCGCAATTGGGGAACAAGCCCCTGACTTTTACGCCAAGAGAAATTCGATATCCTATCTGTTCAACTGGTGGTTATTTATTGTACAGCTTGATGGAGTTTTAATACTTGTCTAGTACTCATAACATCGCGGCCTGATTGATCCGAGATGGTGTAAGTAAGGAGCACCGGAGAATTAACTCCACAGAGATGGAAAGGATCATCCTGAGTTAGGTCAATTGAGGGTGCTGTCTATTCTACCACAGTCTCGAATTGCTGGCACACCTACATGTGTCGCTGTGTGGGCATTTGCCTTCCTATTACTTCCATACCCCTTCTCCTCCCGAATACGATGAGGGGCATCAAGAGCTGCTAGAACAAGGTAGGCAACTCATCGATGAACTGAGTAAATCCGGGGCTAGTAAAATTCAGTCCGGGACTAGGAAAACCGATTTTCAGATCTTCAACGTTAGTTTTAGGAAGTAAGAACGTGTATTTTGAGAGTCAACTGCACCAAAACTACACCCAACGCCAGAGAGCCCTAAGTTGATAGTTTTTCCATCTCCATTTTTCCCGAGTCCTTGGTGGCTGCATCAATAGAAGATGTGCTTGGGCCCTATAAACAATCTCTCTTGAAGACCAAGAGAGGAACTATAGATTCCGTCAATCGTGATCTTCTGGTTGCTAAATACAATTCTTGGCCCTCCTTGTTCGTATCTTTTACCCAAAGGACGGCACAGTTGTCGAGACGTAAAAGAAATGACGTCCCTTTCGCGATTTATCCCAGGACAGATTGTCTTCTTTGTCACTAGGGCTACCTCGGCTTCATTCTCAAACTCAGGGTCCGTGGTCTTGGGCGTTGTCGATACCGTTTCGGATCTTTCAAGGTTGCTCAAAACAAACAGGGGGTGATGTGATTTTTATTTCGGACGACTCATATCGGATTTAGTGTGAACCATGTCACGATCGTTGGCTATGTAAGCCTATAGCGCCTTTGCAGCCGCCAGATTCTTGCAGTGTAGGATGCAGCAATGTGAGAACAGGATTTTCCGCAGGGCGAATGCGTCCTGTGTCCAATCCTGTTATTGCGCAACTCGAAGTCAGGCACGCATTGTAACTCAGCTGTTGCCATCGTTGGAATGAAATATTAGAAGTGAAATTTCCATCGGTTGTTCTGTTTCTCACATATTTTAAAGAGTGTAGTCCTCTAATTATGGATTCAAAGTGGTTACACAATGAATCATCCGTGGGGTCGTCTATTGAGAATCCCACCCGGCAGAGAAACACACTACATAGAGAGGGACCTGGGTAATTGGTCGGGGCTAATTTGTGCGGAAATTGGGGTTGTGGGTCTAGAGCTATATAGTGTAGATGGATTTGTTTAACTTGCTGTTTCTTCATTTAACATCTATAGTGATTATTTAGGGGGTATCTGTCATTCTGGAGTGCAAGAGAAAGGTCCAAGACCGCGCGCCCAAAAAAGGAAAACAAAAACAGCAACGCATTTCAGCTTTTAGCCCTCGGCCTCCCTCTCCTTCTTGCGGCGTTGTCGGTCTCTTTCCATCTTCTTGAACAGCGGGTGGTGTCCCGCTTTATCCTTCAGCTGCTTGTTCCTGCTCTTGTTGTACTCGATGTAGGCCATATCATCACCACCAGCCAGACCACTAAGAGTGGCAGCACTGCGTTTAGCGCCTCCTTTCTTAGTCGTCACGCGCTTGCCGGAGCGCATCGAGAACAGATCATCGTTGACCTGTTCGACGTCGGCGGATGACTCATTCTGCAGCATGACTTCTTGCAGAAGCTCGCGGCGTTCTGCGGGCGTTGCGTACGAGAGTCCTTCGTAGTTGTCTATGCCTTGGAGATGGGTAATGACCTTGAAAGCATAACCCTGATCGATCAGGAATGCCTGGCGTTTGGCCGAGTAAACCATCTCATTGGTGTCCTTGGACACGAGGGAGTAGAAGAAAGCGTTGAAGCCCTCGTCGTTTCGGCGCTTGGCTCGCAGAATTCGTCCCAAGCGCTGAGCCTCTTGACGACGGGAACCGTAGTGAGACGAGATTTGGATCAGACAAGTAGCCTCGGGTAGATCAAGTGAGGTATCACCAATCTTGGACAGGAAGATAGTGTTGACCTGCTCGTTATGTTGGAAATTCTCCAGGATACGCATGCGCTCATTTTGAGGAGTTCCACCGTAAATATAAGCCTTGTTCAGCTTGAGTGCATATCGCTCGAGAGCGTAGACATTGTCTGAGAAAACGATGATCTTGTCACCACGCTTCTCGTGAAAATCGATCAAGAACTGACACGCTTGGAACTTGCGAGGGTTCATGATGTACAGCAAAGCTTGTTTCCTGGAGCTTTCCCGCAGATACTCAGAATAGAACTCGGTTGTCATCGGACACCACACCTCCGCACATTGGACCTTGGCGATGTGGCCCTGTGCAGCAAGTTCCATCCAATTTGCTTCGTAGAGTTTCGGTCCGATCAAGAAGTTCAAATCTTTGATCTTGTCGTCCTCACGTAGCAATGTCGCAGTGAGACCAAGCTTGCTTTGTGCGGCAATTGCAGATGTGACCTTTCGGAACATCGATGCTGGCACGACGTGGACCTCGTCAAGAATCATCATACCCCATTCTCTCGATTGGAGCCAGTCCATCATCTTCTGAGCATCATAAGACCGGGCACGGGTCTGTGACACCATTGAATATGTTGACACAATAATACCAGTTGACCGCTTGAATTTTTCTTTGTGGTCCGATGTGAAAATAGCGATATCACCCGGGTCGATGGTTGTCCACCGCAAGAACTCGTTTCTCCACTGAACGACGGACATGGAACTGGTGCAGAGGACGATAGTGCCTTTCTTGATGGTCGCCGCGGCAGTGATACCCACAAGGGTTTTACCGGCACCACAAGGAAGCACAATGATACCACTCTTGGCTCGTCCATTACCAAACATTTTACTTAAGCTCTTCTCCTGGTAGGATCGAATCCGCGCCGCGGGTTTCAAATCCATATCCAGATTTGGATTGACTGTGTCTCCTTGGAAATCGTACTCTTCCAGAGCAGGACATCCGATCGATTGGCAGCGGGCCTTCACCACTTCGACACCAGCAGCGGGGATTTCGAAACTGTAAGTGATTGCTTCTTCAGTCTCATCCTCGCCAATGTCGTCAATTCCATAGTTCACGGCTCCTCCTTCTTCTGTCTCATCTCTAGCTATAGCAGCGGCAACCTCCTGTTGAGTGGTCTCTCGTACACCAGCTGCATCTTTCGTTCCAGGAATGACAAGACCACCCATTTTCGGAGCAGCGCGTTCGATGATTCCTTCTGTATTATCCATTCTCTGGGGGCCAATCACTTCGTCTTTCAGCAAACGCTGAAGCATTTCAGGATCTGTCGTTTCCACGTAGTATCGATTATGCCTCAACACCATCTTGATTTTTCCATAGGACTTTGTGAACTCGATGATAAACGTCCGAATGCTTTCCGGTAGCGGTGTTTTCGAAAGGCGGTCCAAGAACTCAACAATATCCTGCGGTTTGAGGCCGACTGAGACTGCCGCATATAAACTGTGTCCGGTCAAGCGATATTCGTGGAGATGGGTTGGACGGGAAAGCGGTTCCGCGATAGTGGTCAAGAAGTCTTGGGCCTGGGGTGCCAGCGGAGAGAAACTCTCGAGAGTGATTGTGCCTTTCAAAGGCTCGATCCATAACGGCCGGTTGTAGTGGTCGCGCTTCAGCGGAAGCGAAGAAAGATCTTTGTATCCAAATCTGGGGTCCGTCTTCTCCACTTGGTTCTTCTTGCTGAAGGACTCGAGAGAGAATTTGTTGACGACCGCTTGATGGTCCAATTTTAGTTTCTGGTTCACTTTAGGTGAGCAGACTGCCGCACTGTACCTTTCAAGTTGGACTCCTCCGGCAACTCTTCCTGGTCCGAATATTCATCGCCGCTGGAAATATCGATATCGGGGACTGGTGTAGCCCGCTTGAAAGCACCACTAGACCGACCAGCTGGATATAATTAGTCACCTGTCGGTTGAAGATATGGACCAGAGACTTACTGTCGACCGCTTTGCGTTTGGGAGGCATGTGTGGACTGTGTTCAGCAGGACAAATAAAACAGCGTGGATAGTTTGATCAAATAGAATCTCAGTGAGTGAGTCACCGGTGAGGCAGAGCAACGCCCCCCGTCAAAAGTATCTCACGCCAGCATGGACCTAAGATGCTGTGCCGGATGGATAGACGGCAAAAAAGGATCTGCAGTTTATTGCGAAATCGCGAGATAAAGGTTGGTGAAAGAGAGTGATGAGAAAGTCTTCAGTAGGGGTGGAGTTTCGACGAGATCGACAGTATCTTTTTGGATATAAGAGGATCAAGGTAAAGGTCGTCCATAAATCCCAGGTTCCAAATACGATGCTGAGGTCAATAGTTTTGCCTGAGGCATGAAGTAATCCTGAGGCACAAATTAATCCTGAGGCACCCCTTTCAATGGCTGGTCCGTGCTTTGCCGCCGGCCGACGTCGGGATTCTCTCGGGACTGAGGGACTGACGTAAAGCATGCAGCCTTTCCTGTTTAACTTCACACACCTCACAACTGCTAAATTTTTCGCTATGAATACGGTACTTTTCTCTGTCCTGTGCCTCTTCAATTTTGCTAATAATGTTCTCTTCTAGATTCGATCTACCTGGTGAGCGAAGATTTCTCTATCCGAGAAATGAAATATGAACAGAACATGAATGCTGATGTGGCTCTCACTTGAACAGGATGGGCTGGGGCACCCTTTGCCTTGGTATGTGACCTATTAATTGAGTGCTGGCAAATTACCAGTGGCATATCCCACGATTTCCCATGCGAAGAAGGGACTAACCACTTCTCCTATAGCCGGCGGCGGAGCCTACTATTTCGCGAAGCAATCAATCAACGCCGACCGACAATCCCGATTCGAAGCCGAAGTCAAGCGCAAGGCGCAAATGAAAAAAATGGAGAACGAGCACAAGCGCCAAGCGCAATTGGCGTCCCCACCAACCGCGGGCAATGACACTAGCTCGAAACGAGCAAGCATGGCACGGTTCCAGAACGCCTCCGATGATGCTGCCTCGCCTAGTGCCGAAGCCTCGCACGACCCGGCGCCTACCCGGCATGAACCCTTGACCGAGACCGACCGTGTGTTGGAAAAGGGGAAGTACGAAACGGCACAGCCGTACCGGCCTCCGAGTGGGAACCGGTTTAGTTGATCTACTTGCCGCATTGTATACTATTTAGGCACGGAAGGCTCCGTATGCAAACAGAAAATTAGAGGGTAGTGGATTTAGTTGAAATTATGGAGGTGGGGAGGTCCTCGGACTCGAGTTACTTTGTACTACATTTGGTTCGTTGCATCTCACTCACGCTGCGAGTCTATTCAATCATGGATCAACTCGCATAAAGCTGGCTGTTTTTCGATCCCTGCCATTCATAGCGATGATAGATAGAGGTCTAACATGTCTCCACTCCCTCCTTGTCTCCACGCTCAATAGTAATAGTTATAGTAGTGTATGCAACAGCACAATCCCATAGTGCTAGACAGAAAGAAAAAAACGCCACATTCCGAACTCCTTGGGCATAATTCATCACATCGCAATCTTGGAAACTGGCTTCTGGATCAGCGCCTGCACCAATAGTCCACGTCAAGGTTGCGAGTCATCAAAAGTGTGACGACTAACGTGCATGGAAGCAAAGTGGGGGATTCCTGTATATCATGTCAGTTTCTCTACACCAGCTCGCATAGACTGCAAATGGAAAACGTGGTGATTTTTCAAAACCTACTTGGCTCTAGTAGACAGACCGGAGCTCCGTTGTCGCGAACTCTCCAGAGCAGGTGGAACAAATGGAAGTACCACACCGGACACGATGCAAGCCATGGCGACCGCGCGGGCAGCACGAGAGGAGGGACGAGGACGGTGGGCTGAGAAGTGACGGATAGAGGGACGGATGATTTGGGAGACGAGGATAGAGTTCATAGTGGTAGAATGAGGGGATGGATTTAGGGTTGATTTAGATTTGAGGGTAGACTTGTAAGGCAGGATAGAGCAGGATATAAGATATTAGAGAGATTTTAAATAAAAGAGATAAAAAACAGAGAGGAGCAGTCAGGCCATTCAATCGCGCAAGTGCTCCGGATTTTACGGGGCACTAATGGCCTGATCCTCAATGGGAATCCTCATCCGTGATCAGATGGTGTAGGTAACTATGGCTGAAAAGCCCCTTTCCTTTCGAATAGAATTTTCGTCAAGCCCTTACGCCATCGCGGGGTTTCAAGTCGTAAAAACATGTGGGGGATCTTTTTTTATACACAGGCTGAGACTTCACGACATGTATATTAGAGACCGGGAACTCAGTTCCGAAGATTTCACATCTAATTTGAATCTAAAGTGAATTGGTACATATGATGAAAATGAACAGATACCTCTACGGCAGATACATAAACCTCCGCGTACCTGCTAAAGACCTTTGCTTTAAAATTATCATGCTTGGAGGCGGAATGGGAGCAACTATTGCGATCAGCACCTTTCCTCCACCGCCTTTACTGAAAGGACACCGCCTTTACTGAAAGGACACCGCCTTTAATAATAGGTACGTGATTGATTGGATTTGACCAGCAGAAACACTCAAAGGATCACGTGCGATAAAAGCTTCGATAACGAGGAGACTGGAGAACATGAGACTCTCGAGGGCTGTTCTTTCCCTCAAAAGATCGTGGGATCACTAAGTTTACGATGACGACGCACGATGCTGTTATTCTCAAGGCTGCGTTTGCTGCTTGCTTGTTACGTCCGGATCCTACTTCGGTCCCTCGAGATGAGATACGCGCGTTCCACATCTCCCTCGAGCGCGCGCTGTCGCATTGCTCCCCAGCAAACATTCAGGTCTGATCCGTTGTCACCTTTCTTTACTCTCACGTCTCACCTTACTAAAAAAGATCTTCCCCCACACAGACCTGTAAAGCCTGGTTGCTTCGCTTTGTTGCGTTTTCATCTAATCGGGTAGGGGGTCTGGTCAATTACCTGGAAGCTCTCGGGGCGTCCTTGCCATCACAGCCCACCGGATCCAAACTTTCACCCAAGCGCCAACGCCTCCACATACTGTACTTGCTGAATGATCTGTTACATCATTGCAAATACCACCTAGACACCCCTGCAACATACTCCACAGTGAGCGGGTCCCTACAGCTGCATCTCGTGAACTTGGTCGGCTACGCAGCGACTTGTGATCGCCAAAAGAACCCACGGCACCATCGACGATTAGACGACCTCATTGATATCTGGTCTGAGCATGAATACTTCCATCCTGACTTGGTCGACAAGCTTCGGGAAGTTGTGACCATGGGGGTCCCTATGGATCTCAACGATGCGGCCAATGGGCTAAACTCAGCGAAGAAGTCCAGCAAGAATGTGCCCTATGTCATGCCATCCACACATGGAGATCCTTCGACGCGTTGGCACGAAGTTCGCGCGGGCAATATTTATCCTCACATTATTCCCGACTCGACTATTCCCATCCGACCCGAAGACGTAAAACCAATTCAATTACTCGCAGGTCCTGCCGACGCACAGTCGGTGGAAGCCCTCCAAGCCTTTCTCAGTGATGTGAACAAACTTTTCGACTCAGAAATCCCTGGAGATAATAGACACACAGACTTTGATCCGCTGGGTCAGACAGTCATCCGAGGTGAGAATACAGGCGATATTCTCGATGGCGAACACTACCACGGATGGTCTCTTGAATTCTGTCAACCCGCCGATACAGATACCGAGGATTCGCGGGGCCGAAGTCGCAGTCGTAGTGAATCACGAACTAATTACAAGCGCCGACGCTACAACAGCTCCACCAGCCAGTCCGAGTCTCGATCTCGAAGTGGATCACGATCATACCAACGCGATTTCCATCGTCGCGACGCACGATCGAAAAGCCGTTCTCCACAGCGCCCACGAAGCCGCGAAAGCTCATACACACCTCGAGAACCATCCACTTCACACTTCCCGCCCCCTCACCAGGCTCAATATCCCCCCGCACCCTTCAACTCCTTCCCCACGGCCCATCCCCCCAGTGGACAATATGACTATCCTCCGATGGGTCCCAACACTGGCTATCCTCAAGCACCTGTACCCAACTACGGCTCTTGGCCTCCGCCTCCTCCGCACGTGCCAACAGTGTCCTTCCCCCCGCCCGCGCCCGGATCCTCTTCGGCCTTCCCCCCTCCGTACCATCAGCCTCCTTCCATACCGCACGGACAGAACCAGGGACAGCGACCGGGGTACGGGATGCCCCCCGGTCAGCACCACTTCCCTCCCCCTTATTCCGGCGGTCAGCAGGGTGCGCCATGGGGACCTCCTCCTCCCCAGGGCGGGCGTGGGTGGTAATAAACATGTTCACATGAAACGAGGTACGAGTTATGCTTGAAATGCAATCGACTCGACTTGAGTCAGTGGGAAGGCGAAGGCCTTCCGATGCTGCGGTTTGTGTGATTACGGTCCCGCCGCAGCGGGATATCTACGTTCCTATAAAGTACAATCTGAAAGAGTACATGCCACTTTTTTGCCCATACGAGCACGTTCTTTTACTATCGATAGTATCCTTGGTGTACATCGGCGCGTGGATCCAAAGTAATTTCACACACCCAAGCTACACGTTGTCAGATGAATAAGTATCTCGCATTATACGTGATGTGTATGGATCTCCATCAAGCCGAAGAAAAGGTCGAAGGGACCCCATTATCAACAGCTGGTACGGAGCACAACATGGTAGAGTTGAATAGGCCTCTCGCTGAGGGACCACAGGAAGTAATCGACAAACACATACCAGAGCCCACGAGGGCAAAAAAAACACCAGTTGTAGCAAGCATCATATGCAATTACACCCCTTACTCTCCATAAATTAAACCATCACAGGCAATGTGATCATACAACATCAAGTCGAAAGGGGGGAAAGAAGAAGACGCCACCACACCATCTATCTCCTCAGTTGCCAGTTCACATCCCCGAGGTCCAGTTCGCAATTCTTCACAGCAAGGAGTTCCATACTAGCCCATAGTCCGCATTTAAGTGAGAATGTCCATGATCATATCAGCCTGTGTCTCGGGTTTATCCTTCATCTGGTTCGCGTAGTAAGCCCTCTTAACCTCCTCGAAAGGCTTGCAGGCGTTGAATCCGGTGCCCTAGAAGAAAAAGATCATTAGCAACATTCTCTGCGTCATCAAAGAATGACGTCGAAACCTAGGACGAAAAACATACATCATTCTCGGTGTTGCAACACATGGGGGCATAACCTTGATCGTTGCAGGAATCAGGAGCCTCCTGGTCGGTCATGTTCTTGCCTGCGAAGATAGATTGAATCAATATCCAATGAAGTTTTCCAATACCGTCTAAGCACAAGTCCGGAGAGAAACATACACTGGAATGATATAGCCGAGCTAAGCTGCAGCCCGCCGAGGACTGGCACCAACTCGCCGAGATCCTTGATTATGTCCGAGCTCGTCTGCTGCACAGACATACAGCAGGACTTGAACTTATCCTTGGGGCATGTATAGGCCTCGTATGGGTTAGACGAGGGGGTGGGGGAAGCTGAGGCAGAGACAGAGCTTGAATGCGAGATGAGAGACTTGGACACGGATGTAGAAGTTGGATTCTCACCCCCCGTTGGGATGGCGGCGGTGACGGACAGGAGCGGGACAAGGCCCGTGAGGAGAGTTGTGAAGTGCATCATTACAGATTTTGCGATCATCGCGTGTTGTATAGGGTATGAAAGGCGTAGAGCGAGTTGATGTATGGTGTAATAGGACGACTTGCCACGGCGCGGCTGTTGGACTTGGATATCCGAATTGAACGACAGTGTTAGAGATGGTGAATTAAAAGAGTGTGAGATGATTCCTGGAATCAAGTCCAAAATGAATGGCTGGATCTAGGCCGTGTGGTTGTCGTGAGAGGTTGCCGGATGGGCGTGTCGGGGAGGGGGGGGGAAGAAACAGGAACACAACGTTGACCCTCGATGTATGCAGTGCTCTATTTTTCAGACTGTCCGACCAGCCTCAACAGGTCTATCGCATTTTCATCTGCCTTGCTCCCTTGGGCGCTTCTGGTTGGCTCATGGACGAATCCCGGGATACCAAGGGGTTCATCCCTCTGTTCAGAAAGGCACGGCATGCCCTTGATTCGCTACTGAGTTGAACCAGGTGGAATGTGCAGGCTCGGCATTTCTTCTAACTGGTTTGCCTGGGTACTTTTGATCTGGTATGTGGGCGTTAGTGTGTGTTGTTTACATAGGAGATGTGAATCTTTGGCTACGATATACCTATCCACAGCAACAACTGATAGCCTTTTTGGTCCACTCAATTCTCAGTAACATAGTACAACTCGCTAGGACAATTTTGCTGCGACTGCATTGGCTTCTCGGGTGTATGCAAGGGGTGCCTCAAAAGCACACAGCTCTTCTAACATACAGGAGAAGACCCTACGGAGTACTCCGTACTTTGAGACTGAAACGTTCTTAGTGATAGCCAGCGATCTGAGAGGTAGTTCTATGAACATTTTGATTGAACCATGTCAAAAATAGTATGTGTTGAAGACGCTGGTCAACATCAAATATGAATTTGCCTCTAATTGATAAGATCAGAGATTTCTTTCTTGGTTAATTTCAAAAATTCAAACCCAGCAGAAACGAGGCTACAAGTAAAAAAAAACATGTCTACGATCAAGTTACGCCTACCAAATCTACTCTATACACCCTAAAGACTCATTTCAGTCGCTTTCCTATCAAGGTTATTGAGATTTATAACTTGACACGCCCTGTTTTGTCCGATCTAAACAAGTGTCTGAAACTTCACCATCGTCGATCAAAGCGGCCTGGGCCCGTGGACCCCTTGGCCCAGCTCTATTCACTTGTACTTTCAACAGGCCTAGGCAGAGCTAGCCAAGCCAAGCTTTATAGTTCCATACCGTCGATACTTGAGGATGGCCTCCGAAGATGCGTTATACTCAAAACACTGCTTCCGAGGCAATCCGGGCTCATGATGAAAACCTCCGCCAGATTTGGGTCTACATCGTACACTTCGATCTGAGCTCTTTTTGTCTCTTTTGCATCGTAATTTGCGTTGTTTCATATGGCTTCTGTATACAAAAGAAACTGGTTCTAATCTTTCTTTATTAAGTATTTGCTACTGAACGAAAATAAAATCTACAACTTGAAAATCTACCGACCCAACCCCGAAGAGCAAAGAAGGACTCGAGATTTTCAATCAGATACTAAATAGAAAGTGGCTCGGCGTAGTATTCACCACAATAGTAAGTGCTGATGTCAATTTGTCTCAGAAGTAGTATCAGCCTTGTCTCAGCCAACTCAGGCCAATTCGACGGTTGTACGGAGCATCCATCAAAGCCATACTGCGTGGGACTGGGTTGTGCGATCTAACAGTCTCTAGCCTAAGAAAGGAAAGCGTAGACAAATAGAAAGAAAAAGATTGCTCCGGTTTGATTGCGCATAGTGGTACAGATCGTTAGTGGTCAACACGAGTGGTATCATAACAGGGTATATAGTTCTCCGAGGAACAGTTCAGTGTCCTCGACTCGGAGAGAGTTGGTTTATTAAACCACAAAAGACAGAAAAGGTCAAGAATAAGATCGCTCGCAAGTAAAAAAAAATACAAGGATTGTACAAGCCGATGTCCCAACAGGGAACTTTAAGCTGATTTAAGCAGAAGAGATCCATGGATGACTTGATCACTTACCCAGATCCCGGTAAAATGGACAGTGTTCGAGAAATGTTGGAAAAGAGACTGAAAATCGTTTTTATACTGCTCTCCAGTACAACGAGCAACTCCAAAAACGGTCATAAATGACAAGAATGAGAGAAGAAGAAAAAAGCCACGCAGTTCTGAGATAAGAGGCTGTGGAAGAATGGAAGCGATGATTCACGACCAAGGGGTCTGAAGTGGAGGAATACACAGTAGCAAGATGTGTAATCCAGCACTGGAACCCCGGAGAAAGGACGCTGAGGATCAATCGGTATCCTGAAAATGCTATGCAAAAGTAAAAAAAATGGGTAGAGAGGGGTTGGGAAAAGCGAAGGACCATTTCATAGGTGACCCCGACGAGACGAGGTCATGTAGAAATCAAACCCCCAAAGAAAAAACACATGCGACACATCGCTTGAAAGCAGGCACGCTCTCCCGCGCGAATAAAACTCCGCAGAAAGTTCTGCATCTCGGTAGCTATTGACAGGAAGTCCACACGAGTATGGGTGTCTCTATCGAGCCATCCTCGCCAATGCTAGGTAATGGTACTAGACCACAGTGTTGGTGGAGAAGGACCACTGAAAAGACTTTTGTTAGCTATCTTGTACGTGGAAGCCATCACCATGAAATAGAACATGCATACATTGATACAGGGCAAATCCCTAATATCCAGCTGCCTTGGCGTCGGCGGTCTCGCGGCTACTGAGGTTGTGCTCAGCAGAGTGACCAGCACTGCTGGCAGACGTGAAAGACGCAGTAGCCTGTCGAGACAGATTGCTGCCGCTTGAGGCGCTGCTCCGACCACTCTTGCCGCTGCTCTGGCTCTGACGGCGAGGGTCGTCCGCGTCAACAAAGGAAGACATTTGGCGCTGGGTGTACTGCAGCATGGAGCGGTTGTAGTCCTCCAGCGAGGCGCGAGAGGGATCCAGCGACCGGTAAGAATCGACCAACGTCTCATTAGCCATGTTTTCCACACCACCTGCGTCTGGGAACATGGAGTTGAGGTTTTCCGTTGGCTGTATTTGAGCGGAGTGAGCCATGGTAGAATGGGGGGAAAATATAAAGATCTTCAGTTGAATCGGTCAGTTGAATTTTCAGGACTATGGATCAGGAAACGCTAAGAGTGCTGGGCAATAGTGTCGTTGTGGGTGTGGCATAGGGATGAGGCTGATGGGTGGGACGATCAACGTGGAGTGGTGGTTGGGCTGTGGGTGCTGTGGGTGCCGTGGGGGGTCCAGATGGTATCGTTAGCCCAGTCAATTCAACAGTTTCTTACCTGTGATATTGAATTGTTTCACAATCTAACTACTTTGACTGGTTATGTAGGATAGTAATGATACCGAGGGTCGTGGGTAGGCAAGATGATGTGTCGTTGCGCTAAGTCGGTGGAAGTCCAACAGTATGTTGTCCGGGCCAAGAATACAAAATGGTAAGGGAAATTGCTATGGGGCAGACTCAGGAGTTAAGACATATAATTTAGAGGAACGAAGGACAATTAGATTCAATTTGCGAGGAAGAATATATATAAAGACATGGCTCCACAAGGAACATGAAATCACATCGGTGGTGAACGAGCAAAGGCACCCAACTTCGCAACCTATGATAGGCCAATAAGCTGCATAACTGCTCCTTCCAAGGGAAACACACGAGATCTCTACCGATTACACCGGGCGGAATACAGTGACATAATTGGTCGAAAGGGGGTGGGATAGTGGGGGGGGGTGTCTTTTCTCCTAGGCGACATCATAAGAAGCATCATAAACCCCAGCCCTCAGTACTTTGTCTTTGCAAGTGACCATCGTCAACCTATTGGGTACATCGTAGAGCACAGTGTGGGGTCAAATCATCATTAGCGGACGTTATGAACAAAGTAATACCCACATGTGCAAGGAGACTGGTGAACTCCGGGAGCGATATCATCAGTTACTTCTCCCGTGGATTGGTCAGGGTACTCCGATGAGGTCACTGGGAGAATGTCAATGACCATTGAGAGCCGAAGGCGTTTTTGTGATCGGCATAACTACAGTCCGATCCCCTGCAGATCTTTGCCTGACGTCTACAAGACAAATCATAATTGAATTGTCATGGGCTTTGAGGGGCGAGGTTCTTGTCGCACTTGCTGTCGTTGCGGGAATAGAATGTTCTCGGGAAGGAGAATGTGGACATCGCGGGTGGAGACCCAGTGGAGGAGAATGATAAACGCGCTGTGACAAAGTCAATTGAGGTCTGGTTCGAATATATGTAGTGAGAGAGGCCTGGATAATGGATAGATTGAATGATTCAATCTAAACCGAAAGTCAGCTTAATACGCATATTGAACAATGTTATTAATAGCACAGATGGCCGAAAGCAGTAAATGCGCCTGCAGCACAAGACAAAAAAAAAGGCTGTGCAGTATCTGAGGCTCAGGTCGAATGGAGCTATGCCGTCATAACCCGAGGCATCGGGTCGAGCAATCGATTTGGTGTGATTCGACCATCGACCGTCAAATAGTTACCGACAATCACCGGGCATGGAAATGGTCAACGAAGTCAAAAAGTCACTTGAGATTGAATATCAAAAGTGGAACATCTGCGAAAGATGAGCTTGAAGCCGAAACAGCCTGGTACATCGTATCAGAGACATGGAGGCTTGCAGCCACAGTGGAGACACAGTTGCGGATGAAGGTTTAATTGGATTTTAGACTGTTTTCATTCGCTGTAGAATCATCTGAAATTGACAAAATAGGAAGAAATGGAGATGTGTGGAGATGAGCTATGTAACTGATGATTTCCTTTGCACAATCTTGGCGTTCATGCCTGAGGCATAGAACACCTGACGTCAGTCAGCCCTCATAGCCCTCATCTTCAAATGATGCTGTGCAGTACAAACTGACTTTGAAAAGTATCTTGACTGCAGCGCTATTCGATTTTTTCGATAGTTACAAATTCGCCTCGTCCCCAACAGATGAGTCCCAGGCATAGGCATGGTACTAGAACCTGGAGATCCCATTATCCATAGAGTCTAACCATATAATCTATCGCAAGCTGCCCAAGCCGTGTTCCGATTTATGTAAAGTGAGATCGTTCCATTACAATGGACCACAATCCTGTTTCTAGAGGGAAAAGAGATTGGTCTGGGTGATCTGTACGACGTATGGGAGCCAGTGACAAGGCTGTTTGTATCGAAGAAACGGGGGCACTTTGTAGGACGGTTGCCATCCATGAACCCTGGACGGAGGTTGATGCCAGCGGGGGGAGGGGGGCAAATCATTGCGGGATCGGCAAGCACCGAAGATATCAGAGCGATTCCTCTACAATTTCCCTCCACATGTTCATTTTGCTCTACTTGAAGAGGCCACATTACATTGTACCACAACCTTAGAGTGAGATACAAATGCCAGCGGGAGCTCATATCCATCGTTTAGGATATGTCATTTAGGTTAAGCACAGCAACTTCAGACGAGCGTTTGAAATACAATCTAGAATGTCGATTGCAGTCATGATCGGCCACATAATTTTGAACCAGATCGAGTTATCGAGGAAGAATCAGTCTTATCAGTTGGCACCAGTCTAGAACAAAGTTAGTCAAACAGTGAGCTTATCATATCTATCACATCACAAATATGCAGAATAGAGAACATCTTCTCAAACATGTTCTCACCAGGTTGGTGGAGAGTACTCATTGGCCATCAAAGTTGACTCAAATTGGATGTGATGTCGTCAGCAGGAACTTGTGGAGAACAACAATGCAGTCTGATGAAGTTTGTATCATAGCTTTGCTCCGCCTGACGAGTTTGATCCCAGATATGACAGCATGCGAATGTGTACATATGTTGTATCAACAGCTGAATGTGTCAATAACATACTCCGTAGATATTGTCGCAAGGTACACTTGCAGATCTTTCTCTCCCTATCAAGTGTCATTGAATGAGTCTTCACGGTCCACTTTCTTTATTAATCCATTCCATCTCGTGCCTAGTCTGAAGTCCTGAACCACACATGACCCACTGGTCATATTAAGCCGTAGACTGCCCTAGATCAAAAACAACACACACGTTGCACGTCTCGGTACTGCGTGTCGATCAATTGAAACAGTAGATACCTGAGATTGACAATTCCCAACGCTTATTAAATGGTCTCACACAGCAGCCTCTGGCGGCGACCCCTACGATGTTTTGCAGGCCAAAGGAACACAAAGGAATTCGATGTGCCTGTGTTGGACATCGTAGCGAGCAGACGATATCACTGGAAGCAATTCAATTGCATGGAGCCGATTCTCACCGGCATTTCCTCACGTCATAGGCACTTGCCCTATGCTCCTGGGCATACAGTGACAATCCCGTCTCCACACACTTGACATTGTCTGTGGATTTGGCTGTGCGTTCTGGACCCCAGCGAGAAGTGAAAGCCCTGTTTTGGACCAGAGATCGGTCTCGATAGTACTAGTTACAACGTTGCACCTTAGCTGGGCAGTATTCGACATGCTAGCGTCCATCGGTGCATCTGAGCTTGTCGTGTTGACCATTTTTACCGTCATCATATACGGAGAAGACAACGTCGGACTGACGTGCGAAACCGGTTCAAAACCGATCAATATGTGAGCTTTCGCCTCTGCTCTGCGCTCTGGTCGCAACGATGTGGTACGCCATTCCACATATTAATATCCAAATACTGTTGGGATGCTATCCTACGCAAAGAAACAGGTTCCGTATCTGCGAGCATTGAGTGCCCGATTCCCCCGGCTGTGAGCTCATCTGGAGTGATAGGTGTCGGTAGAGGCGAGAGGCGTGAAAACGGGTCCAGTACAACATCGACTCGCTTTTTCATCATCTCGACTCAAGAAAAGACCATCCAGGTTCCCTGATTGTAACTTTCGTTTGAACGTAAACTGGTTCTACCCCTGCGAATATTCATGCAGCATGCAGCAACGATCGCCGTCGCCTCCCCGGCTGCGCTGGGGTCTAGTGCTTATTGATGTTGTTCAGCGATAGACCACCTGAACTCCTTTTTTTAGAATGTCCTTCAACGGAAACCGGTTTTGTCTCTGCTAGCATAGATGATAGAGATTCGGCCGTACAACGTATACTGTCGGGCAACTCGAGGACATGCTTTGCCAATGTATTTTGATCCTGTCGATATGTCAATCCATCTTTCCTTGGTGGGTTCAGATCCCCCTACCTAGTAAAACATGGTAGACCTCCGGCTTGGAAGCCGACTTGAAGCTAAGTTGGTCTGTAAACCATACGTGCATCGCTATTACTTTCCTTTGGCGTGCCATGCTATCAACGGGCCACCACGGTGTGTCAATTACCAATACCGAATACATTTCCCATTTTTAGTACAGACAGACAAGAGGCTCAAAGATTGTGAAACAGTAGTGACTAGGCTAACACGCAAAATATAGAATGGAGTAAAATGCATCATGTTATTGTTTATGCTCATGCTCACATCACACGTAACCTGTTTGAAATAAATGTTATTATGAATCCACCAAATAGGACAGACAGCAGCGGCAAAAAAGTCCGGATAAATATAGGGAACAAGTGAACATACCTTTCCGTGCACCCTGGAAGAAGAAGCGCACAACAAAGACTTGCAACGCAGCCATGGAAACCATCATCAAAGACTCAATAACACTGAAGTTGAAGATACGACGCTCGGTACTACGCACAGTACTAAAGTTGCGGTTTTCGCGTGTGCGGAAGTACTTCTGGTTGCGGGAAATGGTAGAGAGTTGCGCAGAGAGCTTGTAGATAGACTCCTCCAGGTTCGAGGTTTGCTCGGGGCTAGCGCCCTGGCGGGAAGGCAGTTGGGCACGCTGTTCATTCTCAACCTAATGTTTCAATGGCTCGATTAGCATTTGTTGACCGCTTCCTTGAGTCAAAGGAAATGGGAGCATACGGCAATCTCAAAGTCGACCATCTTCTCGGCGAACGTGGACATCTCGTTGTTGAAGCAAAAAGTGTATTCGCCCACGCTCTGCGCCGTGAAGACAAAGTCACCCTGGCGCTCCTTTGTGCCGTCTAGAACGATCTTGCCGCCCGGTGCGGTGACGGTGTAGTCGACATCGAACGAACCACCGGATTGGACCTGTATTGTATAAGATCAGCGTTAGGAACCACCACGTTATTTTTTTTAGCTCAACAAGTAGAAAAAAAAACATCACGGAGTGAAGATATAATAGCTGGAAAATCAATTGGACGTACCGCGAAGTAGAAGGCTACTTTGGCGTTGGCCTCCTCAACCTTTGTGAAGAAGCATGCTTTCTCATTCGCCTGGAGTCTGTAGGTGAGGGCGGTTGCGGTGACGGATGAGACCAGGGAGGCCAGGCCGGCGAAAAGAGCGAACCGCATGGTGAGAAAGATATACCGGGAGGGGACCGTTGAACTAGGGGATGATATCCGCGTCAGGAGATGGCGTTCTGGCCAACTTTGTCTTCCGCTGTTTGATTTGTTTGCATTCATCTAAACATACTGCATTGCCCCACGAGTCTAACATAAGGTATTGAACAATCCGCACTCATGACATAGACGGAGTTGTCTTCTACTTCGGCTGGTTACATAAAATAGTACGGAAAAAAAGAGAAAGGCATGATCATCGCATCAGGGTGTCGCTGCTCATGTACCGGATTGCAGCATACAGCCCTCCATCAACTCATAACCCCCCAGCGCCATGACTTTAACAGTTGTTTAACGAATCGAGAATCCATCACTCTTGCCCCAGAAACTGCGGCTCTTGTTGGGATGATCAAGACCCAGGAAGTCGTCCGCACCAGCCGCTATATCTGACAAGATATCACCTGAGTGGGGTTAGTCAGTCCGAGAGAAAGTCTTACTATGGGATCGAAGGAACGGCACTCACCATCTTCGAGATACTTGGGGTTAGAGAAAGATGCCCGGGGGACCACAGCGAACTTGATCTTCTCGAAGTTTTTGCCCTTGATCTGTGTGCGGGCGGAAAGGCGTTTCTTTGTCTCCGCAAAGAGTTCACCGGGCTTTACAACAAACTTGAAGGGGATTCCGTGAGTCCGGTTTGGTTCGCGGTCGAAGCTGAACACGCTAATGATGCGGTCCTCGGCGTTCAACTTGGATTCCTCCGATGGAATCTTTTCGGCGTAGAGTGTGGCGTACTCGTTAATAGCAGCAACGTTTTGCTCTTCCCGAAGCTCTTTGTAGACCTTTCCACTGTGTGTTTCGGCAACCCGAATCGACTCATCGCCAAGTTCCAACTTCTGCTGCAACGCAGCTAGAATATCTGCCACGGTGCCGCTACGGGAAACCAGAACCTCAACAATCTCCTACTTGAATGTTAGCCAAACCCCAGTGTCATTAATACGGAATGTTGAACACCAACCTCCTTGGTAATGCCATCAGGGAGCCATGTCACTTTGAAGCACTTCTTACTCTCATAGTCACTCAAGCTCATATCCAGAATCTCATAGTACAAAGCGTCTGCCCGGTGCATGGTGTATCCGTATGCGCCATATTGACCGTTTAGAATTTGTGAGAGATTTTGATTGATGCTTCGCTTCAGGAAAGGCTTGGCCTTGCCAGTACTGGCCATCACAGGTGCGAATCGAAGGTGAGTCTCGTCCACCTTGAGGTGCTCACCAACCTTCTTGGCGAACTGGTCATAAGTCATCTTGCGGCTGAGTGTCAAGTAGAAAGTCTCCCCTTCATTGGTCTTGATAGGGGCAAATTGAACTTCCATGCGGTTCAAAAGGTAATCGTAGAATTGCCGAGCGTCTGTGTAAAGCGCTGAAGGTGGCAGTTCGGACTCCTTGATTGCGCGCTGGAAGGTAATGATGTCGCCATTTTGAATTTCAGATTGCTGGAAAGTCTGCTTAGGTTTCATAAGGTCGATCATGGTATGTTTGATCTCCTCGAACAGCATGAACTCTGTACCGGCAGGCCAATCCATCTTGGAAAGAACTGTCGGGGCCAGCTCGCTCACCTTCTGGCTCTTGTGAACGTAGACAGAGCAAACACCAGTCAAGGTCTGGGCTGTGATGTCAAAGTTCTTGAGGAAAATGAGAATTGAGTCACTATCGGGCCACAAAGTAGATTTTCCGTCTGCGCCGGTCGGTGCCACCTCCATCCATAATCGCAAGAGCTGGCCCTTAGTGCCGTATTTGTTGTATGCCTCTTCAACAGTCATCTCTGGGTCGCTGATCACCTGATCGGGTCGGGTTGTCTTGTTCTGACGATTGACCATGACCCAGAATCGAATGGCTTCTGGTTTGAGATCTCGTTCTTCGGCGATTTCCTGTGCAAATTCCCTGACCTTCTTTGCCCGAAGGATCTTGTATGACGTAAGAAGCGCCGGGTCGTCCGCTGGAAGGTCATTGCTGGTCAGGTCAAAGCCGTGGTGGTTTCGGAATGCATCCTCATTGAGGACGCCGACATTCATGTAAAGGTGGGCTTCTTCTCTCTCTTTTTTCCGACGCAACATCTCCACCCGGTCCTCAGACATACGCTTCTCTATACCATAATTAGCCAACCGTTCAAGTCTCCAAAGAACAAGAATCTCTTGACATACCAATGTGAGAGGGCACATCATCCTTTGTGACCGGTAATAGTACATTATCCTGTCTCGTCTTCCGGACGTAAACCAACATGTAGGCATTGTTTGTGCGGATAGCGGACCGGCCTCCAGTCGCTCCGTTTGTGCGCTGCTGGGAGTCTCCGTAGTTCTCGTCTAGGACTTCTTTGTCGGTAGCTCGGTTGACTCGGTCATCGTCAAAGCGATACCAGTGACCATCCTTGGTGGGCTTGAGGAATGCATAATAATGTCCTGCATCGAGGTTACCGCTGTGGACGAGAACACCATGCAATTGGTAAACCCAGGACTCCGACTTATCGGCGCTCTCGGAAAGGTAAGGAGCCGCATCGAACTCCATTGGGAACGTATGATAATCGTTGACTTTGGCCATCATGTCGAGGTTGAGGTCGTACTCGAAACGTTTGAGGTGAAGATGAAGAACGGGAGGGAAGCTCTCGAAGATGACACCCTTTTTGGCGTCCTGCAGACCGTATGGCTGCCCAGCTTCATACTTGTTCTCCCCCTCCAGCGTCTCAACTTGAATGTAATCCCTGAAGCTGTCGTCTAAGGTCTTGTTGCCTCGAACATTGAGTTGAATATCCCAGAAGTCTTCCACACGGGAAGACTCGTAATCGACATTGATGCAAGAAATATATGTTTTGGTTTTTCCGACGAACAGATCAGGTAGAACTTTTTCTGCAACCGTGCCTTTCATTTTGTGCTCCAGTCTTTCCATGAGCTTTCGTGAGAGCTCCTGTACATCTTGCTGTTCAAAGATCTGGCTGGATTGCCAGCCAAAAGATGCGGTGAGTTCGGTTGTGGAAACGGCAACGTCGTTGGTCTGCAGGTTGTAAAACAGTCTCTGGAGGGCCCACGCGCTGTTCTCCCGGGAAGCTTCCTGGTCAGTCGGTATTTGATAGACGGCCTAAAAATTTTCGTCAGTTTCAATAGTTCGGAGAGTAATGGAAGACTCTGTCCCCCGTACCTTGCGGAAAGCATTTGTGAAATAGAGCGACTGCAAAAGTGAGTTCAAGTAGCATGTAGCTCCTTGATTCCTCAATCCTACCATTCCAGTCTCCTTCTTCGAGTCGTAACTACAAAAGAGGAAGTTAGCTTCGCTCGGTCAAGCCTCCGAAAGAGAACACACTTTTGGAAACTGTGCCACAAGACACCTGTAGGATCTTTCACTACGCGAACATAGGCCGTCACAAATGCCTCATCGTCCTGTACCAATGGGACAGATTTCCCCTCCCACGCGTGGCTGAACAGACCTTTGAGGTCAGAGAACCGAGTAAAGCCCCAATCCCCTTCCTCCGCAGTGAAACGGTGGGTTGCAACTAAAATCTAACTTAGCAATTTTTTTTTCTAGCAATTCGTCGAGACACTTTTATCTTACCGTGATGTGTGTAAATAGAAGGATCGTTCACATTCGATAACACCAGGGCGAACTGCACACAAGCGTACCAGTTCTCTGGGGGTCCACCCTCCCATGCATGTTCGAGGTAAAACGAAGCGAATTCGGTCTGGTTACCGTACGGAAAGAAGAGAATGCGCCTATTCTCGAGTTAGATCCAATGACCGCACATAGCCATAAGGCCAAATCCAGGCAAAGAGTTTTCAGGCACCCACCATGGGGAGCCACCGCATCGGAAGATGGGTCCGTGTGACTTGCGCTCCATCTTCCGCCAGTCTGACAAGCGCCATGTATTGTAGACCTCGTCTAGGGTTTCGAGATCCGGGTTTTGGGGGAGGACCTTTGCCATCATCGCCGCGTCTATGTCCATCGAAACTCTTGATTAGCAACCACTCAGTACCACCAAGCAAACAGGGAGTGCGTTTCTCGAGGACAATCTCATTTAGGTGCCATGCTTTGTCTAGGTAACCTAACAAATTGGCCTGCTGCTTGTGGTTCGGCGAGGAAGAAGCAACAAAGAACATACGGTCATCTGCGGTCGGTGCAGACTCAGGCTCGTCGGATCCCGACCGGGAAACGACGACGACATCAGTCTTTTCGGCAGGGTAGTGATCATAATCATCGACAAGCATGTCGTTCTCCGCGAGCTGGTAGAACAGAGTTAGGTCCAATGACGACACTAGCGAGGGGCACGGTCGGGGGATCTCTCACGTTTTCCATCGCGGAAAGCGCCTTCCCGTCCCGGAAGGCGTCAGAGTTTGTAGTTTAGAAAAGTTGGGTGAATGAAAAGACAGATTGTTGAAAAGAATTACACTGTAGGGCTGGTGGTGGAGGAAATTAGTCTGAACCCGCAAAATAATAAGGGCCGGAGCTAGCGGTGGCGGAGCCTCGAGGGCTCGGCAGTCATAGTGTTGGATGTTGGATGTTGGTGAGATTTATCTTTGATTGGACGTTTATTTTTGGAGTTCATGTAGCTTTTCATTGAGCATTGACGTCTCTCTCACTCTCTCTCTCTTTGAATTGAAATTAGGAGTTTTCTCAATTGACAGTGCGTTTTAATGTCTGCAGGAGTGCCTAGGTGTGGAGTTTGTGAAGAAAGCCCTGTTTTATACCAGTCTGATTTACAACGATGTAGACAGATATATAGACTTGTATGCATGCTTCAGTTCTGCAAGCCAAATCGATGTATCCCTTTGCGTGCTCTCAAACTTGAAACTTCTTCAAATAGCCCTCATATGATCCAAAGGGCCAGCCGATACATTAGCCTTAAGTCCATGCGATTGGCCTCAGATCCGAGGCAATTTCAGACCAAAGTCCAAATCGTATGACATGAAAAGATGTAGCCTTTGGACAATGTATAAATAGAGACCGCTTGGAGATGTACAAAGGTCCATTTCACAAATCAAATCTTTTCCCGCCTTTTACTGCCGTTTAAATATATGAACCTGAAGCAGGCGGCCAGAATGTCCATATAATAAGAACCCAAAGACCCCAAAGGCCCCCCCCCCAAAACTGTCTCAAGGCCACACAAGAGAGAGCAAAACAAAACCTGCAGGTACAAGCTGTGTGTTGATGTCACATGCTTGGCTCACCGCCCGGAAACCCCAAACTCTCGGAGTCACAACTACGCGCACAGGATAGTGAGCACTCATATGGTCTTGGTACGTCTTGAATGAGTGTGCATGGAGCACAATGAGGATGTCTTATATAGCTAGAAACTGGCAGCTCCTTCGGTTTCCCTCGAAACGCTTCTATTCTGGAGCACACAGCCCGCCGCCATGGCGGCCAGTTTCTGCAGTGGATGAGTATGGATGACCCACGTTCCCAAAGCTTTAAATAGAGATATTGACTACGATGTTCTGGTAGGTGGGTGGAACACGCTATTCGACCGATCAGTCTTCGCCAACTGACCTTCTTTGGTCGTACCTTGACCGAACCACGACTCATCAGTTCTGCAAACTACGTGCGAACTGAGCTACCTACTCGGTAAGTTGAGAGACAATCTGCAGAACCAGGGGATTAAAAGGCAAACTAATCTGATCCTGGTCATTGGACAGCCTTGCGCATCGTTTGCGAGACATTCAACAGCTGCCATATGTAGTGGTTGCCAACCCCCATCTCAGCCTTGTATACGAACTGTACTACAAAGCATTTGAGCGGGCTCGGGTGGTTCCTGAGATCCGGACCCTGGAAGATAATGACCGTTTTTGTGACATCCTGAAGGAAATGCTACAAGAGCATCTGGTTGCGATTCCAAACCTGGCAATGGGAGTGCTGGAATGTCGCAATCTCGCTCCAGCGGACGAGATGGACCGGTTGATGAACACACTTTTGCGAGCGGTATGTAAGGTCGACCTCCGGTCTGCCTCCTAGCTGATAAGTATCTCCTCGTTAGCGAATCTCTCGCCGAGTCATCGCAGAGCAACACCTAGCTCTGACCGAAACCTTCAACTCGCCATGGCATTTCCCCGATTCCCACGACCGAACCGACATGAACGCAGATTTTGTGGGTGAAGTGTTCCTAAAATGCAAGGCGAAAGAGGTAGTTGAGGGATGCGGGAAGGTCGCACAAGATTTGATGCGGAAGATATCAGGGTCGACCCAAATCCCCGCGATTACCGTCAAGGGCCATGCCGACGCGACCTTCCCATATATCTTGAGCCACTTGGAATATATCATCGGAGAACTACTCCGAAACTCAGTCCAGGCAGTGATGGAAAAATACCAGCATTCAACCCAACCCCCACCCCCCATTGAAGTGCTCGTGTGCGAGACCCCGCAGCATGTGATCATGCGCATATCTGATCAAGGAGGTGGAATCCCTCGCGAGATCCTGCCTTATTTGTGGTCCTTCAGCAAGGGTCCTCGCACGCAATCCCGACTGGAAAATCTTGGTCAGGTCCCTGCAATGGCGGCGACGATGCAAGAACTGCAAGTGTCACAAGACCGTAAACACACCGATTGGGATTCATACCATGAAGGATCCCTGGACACATTGACATCACGACCGCCCAATCTCCGTCTAGGAATGGGCCTCCCCATGAGCCGAGTCTATGCTGAATATTGGGCAGGCAGTTTAGAATTGCACAGTCTGGAAGGATATGGAGTGGATGCATTTCTGCAGATCTCGAAGCTTGGTAACAAGAACGAGCAGGTCACAACTCGGGCGGCGATTGATGCGGTGTAAGATATTGATACTGGGAATATTACAGGGAAATCTATTCCCCGTACATCTATATCTCATTCACGTCCGTCCAACGTCCCTGCCCGTCAATTGTACTTGCTGTCTATGTACACAGACACCAGCCACATTCCGATGGTGGCATGTGGCGGTACCAACTCGGAATGACGTCATGATCTGTTCCAGCAAATCAGCTTCACAGCTGCCTCAGCCCTACCAGTTCCATTTTGAGTCCCAATCGTGACGTCGTGGCCAAGATCAAGATGAAACACCTGAACTCTCCAGTGAATGACAACATTCCTATCAAAATCTCCATCCTTCTCTCTTTTTTTGGTCACCGATTTCAAACTTCGATCTGCCAATCCTGAATAACACCGCATACATCAAACACTGCAATCATGGCTGGCACTTGCTCGACGCTTTGTCTGATCATAATCACCATTTTCAGTAAGTAAACACTCTGCTGCCTGAACATAAGCGCCAAAAAAAATACACCCCATACAGTGATCTCCAGGTCGCCCCTCATCTATCAAGCTATTCCACCAGAATGATCCACTAACCACCCAAATAGTCCCTCCTCTTGGCGTCTTCATGATTGCAGGCTGCGGAGTTGACTTCTGGATCAACGTCCTGCTCACAGTTCTCGGGTGAGTGTAATACTAGCCATCCATGCTTCCATCACATTCGAAAACTAACCCGCAATATCTCTCAGCTACTTCCCCGGACATATTCATGCATTCTATTTGGAATACGTCTATTATGATCGTCGCGATCGCGACCCATTGACTCGTGCCTCTCAACGGCCTGCACCCGGCGTCTACTCCGATCGCATCCAAAATGGAGGCCATCGTCATGCACCCGCAGACGTTAATTACGGTACCATGTGATTTTTTTTTTCGATGAATCCGAACACCTTTGTTCGACAAGCTTGACCCCGTCTACCCACGGTCGGCATTCTCTTGTGACTTTGAACCTAAGCGAGTCTCTACCTCTGCTGTATCCATAGCGTCGATCCTTGTTCTACTTGGGGTACAACTGGACCCTTATGAGTCGATAACTAAATGAGAAGGATGGTTTCCTTTCTCCAATGTCGATGCCTTTCATAATTATAATTTCCCAAATGCAACTATAGGAGGTGAGCATCCTAGAAGATCCCAGAAGTAAACAATAGAAAAGGTAGATCCCATTTCCTATCTGAACAGACCCAACTAAAGCCTATACACTCGCCTTCTTCTCCAGCTTCTCCGCCTCCTTAGCTCTCTTCTCCGCAGCAGCCTTCTTATTATCCTTCACCTCCGGGAAATCAAAAGGCTCACTGCTAACAATTGTTCCGCCAGTCCGGGGCGCAGCACCGGTACCAGGCGCCCAGAACAAAGCCCCAACCCAAGGCTGAACATTCCATCCGACATGAAGGGTGACATTCTGACGCTGGGCCAGACGACCAGTAATATCACTGATCTGATACTTACCCTTCTGGCCACGCAGTCTCAGAACACCGGGCGCAAGAGCCTCCTTCTTACTCTTCGCCGCCTTAGCCGACTTAGCATGACGCTTAGCATTCCTCTTCGCAGCAGACACAGCCTCAGAGGTAACTGTCGCGGGAAGAAGCGCAAGGACCTGGTCTTTGAGGACATCCCACGAATACGGCGACGGGGTCGCGGGGATTATAGTGTCCCAGATGATGGACTCCGAGGCTCGGACTTGTGAGCCGGGCTTATCGGAGGAGGAATAGGTAGCGTATACGTAGACAAAGAGCTGTTTTGTGTTCCAGTTGAAGAGAGGGCTCAGGTCAGCGTCTAGGTCGAAGCGGAGCTGGGCGTATTCTTCGCGTTTGGTGGAGTAGTAGTGCGGTCGGCCTTTGACGCTGTTATACAAGACATGAGGTTTTAGTAAATTGGGCCATTCGGTTGTTTTTTTTGCTCTCTCGAGAGTATAGGGTTGGAGGGGGAATGTAAATCGCGATTTCGACTTACACCTGCACGTTCTTCAGCTGCACTGAGGCATTGGTCTCGTCTGCTGGGAATAAGAGGACCGAAACGGCTGCCAGTGCGCTGATGACCAGCACGACTGTAGTGAAGAAACCGAATACGGACTGGATGCGGGTCAAGGATGAATGCATGGTGTGTTCGGGGTCGAATTGAGAAGATGAAGCCAGCTGGGCCTGTTTGGATGTTTGGGTCTTATCGATAAGCGGCATCTATAAACCGGCCGGGGCTGTCATCTCCGCATAGACAACTCTGATCGGTTCATTCTGATCTCTTTCTTTTTGGATTTTCTTAACACCCTATGCTTCTGCTGTATTCATATCTATATATCAACGTCAAGTCCATATCCATAGAATTCATTATCTCGGACTCCCATCCAACCCTCACGCAACAAGCTTGGAACCAACCCACCCAGCCAAATTCCCACACCAACCACAATGGGCGACCACGTACTCTTCTTCTACGGTAGGTCCCTCTTGGATCAACGCAAACCCCAAACTAAAACTCGACCAGGAACCCTCATGGCGCCTCAAATCCTGCACAAAGTAATCCACGGCCAGGAGAACCCAGAACCCTGGCAAAAAGCCATGCTCCGCTTCCAACCCGCCATTCTACATGGCTATCGCCGACATCGCGTGCAGAATGCCGATTACCCAGGTATTGTGGCAGTTCCAGATCTAGCCCCCGAAACGGAAAAGCCAGCTGCGCCGAACATCAGCGCTGGGACATCAGTCGTGGGAACTCTCGTGTCGGGACTGACTGACGGCGATGTTCACCGGCTGGATAGGTTTGAGGGCTCTGAGTATGAGAAGAGACCGGTTATTGTGCGCACCCTGCGGGAAGTTCGTGGTGGTGATAGCAGTCATGTTGGCGAGGGAGCTACTGCTAAAAACCAGCTGCGCGAAATGCCGAATGCGACGGGTGCTGAGAGTGCTGATGAGGGGGAGGGGGTTTCGGCTGTGGCTTATGTATATACAGCTGGGAAGGATATGCTTGAGGATACGGAGTGGGATTTTGAGTCGTTCAAGAGGGATAAGATGGCGTGGTGGGTTGGGATTGGGGCGGATGAGAGTAAGTGGTAGCTTGATCATGCGTGTCTAGATATGTGTAGTTATTTTTGGATTGGAGACTTTGCCGGGAAAAACAATTAAATTCGTGTAGCGATGCGGACGATGGTATCTGATGCTAAGACAGTAAAGACACGAAGTTAAACACCATTTTTCTCTCATCGAACGCCGAGGCAGGGCTATGCGCTGGACATGCCGTAACGCACACGAGTTAAAACGCTAAAACAGTGAACATATTTGATTCATGAAGTGGATGATCAGTTCCGGTCCAGCCGGTGCTGTGGTCGGATATCAAGATTGTGATTATCTTAGACAAATGGAGTTGTATCACGTGGATGAACAGAGTCATCTCTTTCGCGAAGGGCCTTGGGGGCTTTGTTTCCTTCGTTCTTTTCTTGTAGGGGGCGGCGTGCCTGGCACTTTGGGCTCTTCCTGGCTACCGGGTACCTGGATGATGGGTTCTTCCTTCGGTGGAGCAACATGGTGAGTCTGCGGCTTCGTATCGGTAGGTGGGTTGGAGGTTGCTTTGTGTGATTTCGGGAGGGTTTCGGTAGGTAAGAGATGCATCTGGTCCACGGTTGAATCTCCACTTGAGTCTTCAATCTTTGAAAAGGCAGTCTTTGCAGGGTCTTTTGGACGATCAGTTTCGTGCTGGGACTCAGGTACCACATCGACATCCGCATGTTCCGCCTGACAAGGAAGGGGTGGACCAAGCAGGAATGAAACGAGTTGTCTGGCTGCCATAACAGGCTCATCGGCTTGCCGCTGTTCCTCATACAGCTCGTCCAGAAACTTGCCAAGACGGTATCGCAAGAGACCAGAGCCTAGTGGAGGCCAGTCATTATTAGAATTCATACTGCGCTGTAGTACCTTCGTGATGAACCAATCAGGGCTTTGAATAAACTTCTCCAAGTAGGCCAGTAGATAAAGCCCACAGTCCCAGAAATTGGGCTGAAGAGGGATGTCACGAGCTCGCATGCCCTTGACGTCGGTCGGGTCGGGTTCCACGCCACGTTTAGACACCGCTTCGCGGCAGATGTACTCGCGTAGGATTTTGATGGTGGGGGAGCGAGGCATGTCGAGGGAGTCAAACGTGATGATCGTTGTTTGGTTGGGATCCAACTTCAATCCGGTTCTCTTCTTCTTGGATTTGTTTGTCGGTAGGGACGCTGCGGCCTGGTCTTGGGCGAGCTTTTGGGCTGCGAATTTGGAGAGATTTGGGGATGGAAGCGAATTCTCGCCGGGTGTGGACTGCTCTGAGTTCTTCCTATCCGGGATCCCATGCTCATCCGCCTCAAGCTGGAGGGAAGCAAGGTCTTTCCTGGTTTCAGACCCCTTTCGAATATCACGAGGTTGTCTGGCTTTGTTGGAAGCGTTGGGCTCTGAATTTGACTTTGTTTCCGGCTCGGGCGTTTCTTCAATTTCCTGGATCTCACTCTCAGACGCATTGGATGATTCTTTCTGTAGAGTCGGTGTTTGAACCCGTTCTACGCCGTCGACGGAACCAAGAGGCAAACTTGGCAAGTTGCAAATGATTGCAACGTACCAATGCGCATTCTCATTGATAGGGACGACGATATAATCATAACTGAAGAGATCGACGCTCCGAGTCCACTTCTCTACACCACCGTAGTTGATCCCACGATCACCCCGTGGGGTGTTGGTGAGAGTCGCAAAGAAGTAGGTATTGAAAAAGTAGATTCGATTGGCAGCCTCTTTGTTGGTGCGTTCGAGGTGGTCCTGAAGGAAACGCATGTAGAGGGCGATCAGGTTATCGTTCAGAAAGTCGTCTCGAAGTAGTCGTTCACGATCGCCGAGGGTAACCTCAGCCTTCTTTTTTCCATTTCGCGGATATACCAATGGTTTCTTCCATTTGTGCAGGAAAGAATCATCTCTGAGAAGTGAGTTCGAGTGGGCTTCCGATGCATTGTCTCCATTGGACGAGTCGGGCTTACTAGCGACACAGCGGGCAGAGGACCGGGTCTCGCGTTCCAGTGGGTTGGCGGTAGATCGAATATCAACTTCAGTATCTGGATTAAGAAGTCGTGAATTTTGTTGCTCTTTGGCAGACGTTCCAGAGTCGGTGATGCCGTTTCCATATTTTCCCTTTTCCTGAGCAACACGTTTGATCTCACGTAAGTTCACATTGTTGACTTCACCATGATCGTCTCTCAAGGATTTTGAAAGTTTGGGTCGTCGTGAGGGAGTTGGAGAGTGCGCAGGACCAGGATCTTCCACCAGGTCATCAAGAACCCGCTTCTTGGGCAATTTGTTTTCCTGTGGGAACTGCTTTTCGTATTTTAAAAACGCCTTGTCCATCCATTTCCTATTTCGACGTTAGTGAACTGCGAACGCATCTTAAAGATAGCCAACAGCACCTACATCTCTTTAGAAGGACGATGGGCGTTGTCATTGCCTTGCTTCAACACTTCCACAAATTGGAGCTTTTCATCAGTAGTCCAAAACTCCACGTCGAGCTGGTCATCTGCTTGGACGGAACTTTGCAACATTTTGATTCTCACTTTCCTACTGGGAGGCTCTCCGATGAAGATCTGACGAATTTGTTGAAATGGGATAGATATCGTGTTGCCCTGGCCGAGTACATCCTCACGAAGTTCAAGACCTTCCATGTTAGAATAGATTGGAACATATTCCATCTTGTTACAAGATTTGCCGAAGGAGCCGGTTCGGAAGTATCGCGATAGGTGTTTCTTATCGGAATTCTTTTGAGAGACTTTGGGCTTCTTTGTAGCTGGTGATGGCGGCGCAAATTCCGGGGTTCGGGCATCGGACGGGGAGCGTTTTCGAGTCGGTGGTTCCGTGTAAATTCCTGGTTTGGATGGGCGAGTGGTCTGGAGTTGTGTTCCTGAGAAAGATCTCGGTACTTGATGTGTGGTGATGCCGCCCTGAAGCTCATCTGGACTTTCCCTGCCGTTGACAGGACGATGAATGCTCGCAGAAGGAACTGCAGTGCGGTTCCGACCAGCTCTCTTTGGTCCGGCCTCAATGTTCCCAATCACAATAGCCTCAGAAGTCTGGCTTGCTCTGCCATTGGGCTGATACAGCCGGGGAGCTTTAGATCTCGCCTGATCACGCCGTTGCTGCGCTGCTGTCTCGGTGAATCTTTCATCGCGAGAGCCAGCTGAAGAGATTTGACCATGTTGAGGGTGAATAGAGCTATGCGCTAATCTGACGCCAGTCTCTGCATCCATAAAACCTTCATGTCGGTTGCGATGTGTTGAATTTCGTTGGGACACAAAGGGCGTGGGGTCCTGTTCAAGCCGATCCGTGGCCGAATTTGCTGGGGCCGTAAGGTCGACGGTTTCGCTGGTTTCACTTTGGCGCTGCATCTTGGTAGGCCGACTCGACTCTTCAAAATCATCCTCAAAGTGGTGCGACTTCCTCCGTGAAATTTGTTGATTTGATCCGTAGGAACGGACCGGCCCGCTGCTTCGGGCATTCTGTGAAAGTTTGTCCTTGGGGGAGAACGCGAAGTTGGACTGTGACCGAGGATCAGATGAGATGTCATTGTCATGGACGTTAAGACTAGTATTTACCCCTGGTTTCTTGTTCCTAGAATGAAATGCTCCGGGCTTTATCCTGACAGCGTTCGAGTCACTGTCGAGCCAAAAACAAAAGAAGCAGGTTAGCAGCAACATCTCGAGTAACTAAACAACGGTTGTTGAACATACGGATATCTGGCACCAAGCAAACGAGCCTCATCTTGCCGATTCTGGGAATCCTTCTGTTGGTCTTTGTTCAACATCTGCAACGAATAACCCTGCCTGAGAATGGGTGGGGTTGTCAGCTTTTGCCTGCCAGCAGGGAAGCGCTGTAGGTTCCGATGGGACATCTCTCACCGAGTAATGGAACTGAGAAAATGGTGGGAGAAACGTGGGCACAAAGGTTCGTCTGCGGTTGTGGATCCAGTTGGGGACGAAAAAGTATCGACATAACTATGAACAGCCTGATAGCAGCAATTAGTCCAAATTCGAATCTTTGTGCATAGCTTGCAACCAGAAAAAAGGCATAGCGGAGAGATAAGTATCCAAGGCGAGACGATTGTGCAGGGTTGATTCGAAAAGCAATGTGGACGGCCAAAGAGCAAATATCGGCGGACCGCGTATGGAGACACGATATACACACCGTTGGAAAAGGAACGATCCCCGTGTTTGGGGGAGAGGCGGTTTCGGTCAGGTTGATTTCGTCAGATAGCAGAGCAAAAGGATTGCGACCAGATCCAGCTGACCGAGAACGAGGAGGGGTTGAGGGCGGTGGTTGAGCCCGTTCAATAGCAGATCGTTGGTCTTCGGTCTCGCGTTGGCGTCGCGGTGACAAATTAGAGAAGAGATCAACTAGGTTTTTAAACACAGGCATGAAGGCAGCAACAGGGTCATGACAGTATGCATAGCATAGATCCCATTCCGGTTGATTGCTTGGCTATTGTCTTTTTTTTTTCTCATTCATGGGACGCAAGTACGCCGCATCGTCATTTGGACCCCAGGGCGGTCAGCATTGTTTGGTGCCTGACGATTTAGGCATCGAAATCTTGACGTCAATGTTGGAATATTGAAATCAACGAACAGACAAAAAATGACTGAATTGTCTAAATGATTTAGTTTGTTCATACCGTTACCTATTTGCGTTATCGACGTAATTCACGGCCATCGCTTAATACCCCAACAGTTCAATAACGTGAATAAAACAACAACCCAATACGTTAGAGGTTGTGGCTTGCATCTAGGCTTTTTTGTACCTATGTCACCGGGGCCATGCACTTGTGCATTGGATTTTGGATGCCTTGTGTGTACGTAGTCCTAGTCGGAATGTCTAGCAGAGCCCCACGTTGAACAGACTAAGTCTATGTGGAAGGGCTATCCTTCACATAAAACAAGCAATTCACCGTGCAAAGGATAGACAACACTCCCAGGCGAGTAGACCAATAGCAGCTGATGCTGCATTCATGTTGCGTACATAAAGGAAAAACATCACGCATGAGCTCGGCAGACAAAAAAAAAAGAAACATGTAGCATGAGTTCACTCAAGACATTAATCAAATCAAACCGCTTAGTTCGCCTCGATGCCCCACCGCCCATAAGACCCAAACGCGTCCCAATGATTCGTGATTGAAGGTTTTTTTTTCGGGTTTACTATACAGGGCCCCAAGGCCAGGCTGGGATCATGGATCCGTTCATAGGGCCACAGCCGGTTTGACTTTGTCTGAGTCATCTTGGCCTGTGCGCCGCCGTTCTTGATGACCCGAGCCAGTGCCAGTCTTGTCGTGGCGAGCCTGATCAATCGCAGAACGCTGTGCAATACTGTCATCGTGGCTCTTCCAGATGATGTTGGTGTCTGCCGGGAAAGCAAGCAGGCGCTTGATCGTTTCTCTGAATCAAGTTAAACAAACTGCAGAGAGGTGAAATAAAGCAGGGTTTGTACATACCTGATCTTGATGTTGCGCCCCCCGTCAATCCTTGTCCAAACACTCAAAACATCTTCACCACCTCGAACGCTCAGTACAGCGCCGCAGACCTCATCTCCGGCCTCTGCAAACTGGTCCCCAACCATAGCCAAGAGGAGATCCTCCCAGTATCGATCGGAAACCCCCTTCTTGAAACGTACGATCCACTTACCTCCCCGCTTGTTCGCCTCATCTTCCCAGACAGGGCGAATCCCCTTCTTGAAGATATGGTAGTCGGAAACTGTGGGAAGAAGAGAAGGCCGTTTAAGATGAGAGTACACCGCCCAGAAGCTCTCTACCGAAGACATCGAAGCGAGCGGCACGGTGGATTTTTCGTAGTCAGAATATTTGGGTGTCGGGGGGCGGTACCAGACGATCCACGTAGACTTCAAGGGGTGCTCACCAGGAGCAGCGATGGAATGGTTCTCAAAAGCCTTGCGGGTAGCCTCATCGTGTTCCAACGTTACCTCCCGTCCGGGTGTTTTCAACTCGGAGCCACCGGGAGTCTTCGGCGCACCGAATGAGGCGAATGCGCCAGACCCCAGGCCAAAAGCGGAGGAAGCATTGGTTGATGGCGATGAAACGCCGCCGGATAATGGGGAAATTGCGTTAAATGGATTCGAGCGGCCATGCGAGCTGTCGGGTCCGAACCGCTTAGATGAGCGGGGCAGTTCGACACGGGCACTGTCTTTCGGGTCCGCCCCCGAAGTGGACAGGGACAACTTGGACGAGCTAATCAAAGAGAAAAAAAAAGCCACCGATATAAGTTCTAATGGTCACTTGGGTGAGGAGGGGCACACGACTAACTTTGTCCGGCGGGTCCACAGGTTTGCATTATCCATCGCGGCGGGTGAGAAGACTGCCCGAGACACGAGCGGTCATCAGGGGGAAAGAAAAAAGATCTGTAAGAAGCGTTACACAGAGAGATGAGACGCCGGCGCTTTTATCTCAGTGACGTAGTATAGTGGCAGATGGGAAATTCTGAGGAAGAAGAAATTCGGGGGAAATTCAAGGAAGGAAAGTTGAGTAAGAATGAGAGTAATAAGAATGATGAGGGTAATGAGGCTGTTAAAAGGGTTATAGAGAAATAGAGAAACAAAAGTATAGAGGGGGAATCAGGTGAAGGGGAAAAGTGTCGATATGAATCGGAGACTCGACTGCAGTTTGAAGGAGGCAGCTGTCCTGGCCAATCACAGCCTAGACAGCCCCATTTTCGCCTGCAGCCCGCACCGTCTTTTTTCCAGTTTTCCCTTTTTCTTTCGTTTTTTTCTTTTCCTTTTCCTCTTCTTCTCTTTTTTTAGATCAAGACCACCAACTCAAATCAACGCTGGCGACTCAATTTTTTTTTACAGCACTGGCGTCTCCGATGTGTGTGTCGAGATAAATCTGATCGCATCTAAAACCATCATCACGAGGGCTTACGAGCAACCCATGAAACGTTGATGACCTGATTGACGGCACATATATGCACACTTTCCTTTGTTTCCGTGTTTCTGTAGTATAGGGTACCTAGGTACGTTTATTCAATAGCAATTCAATTCCAACTCCCATCTTTTCCTTTGTTTCAATGCAGTGAAGAAACTCTTTTGAGCTCTCTGGTAATCCGAGGTCTCAACCGCCCGACTACTTCGGTCTTCGGGCCCACGGGCTGGATGAGCATGCGGTCAACAGGCAAAGTCTGAGCTTTGAAATATCTTTATTACACAGTTCTGTTTAGTCACCATTGAACTGAGATCCAGTGACTTACCCAAGTACTACACATGCGTATCCTCAACCTAAAATGCTCAAAGTAACACTGAAGTACATCAGTCCATTTTTACTTGAACAGTGCAATAATGACGTTTCCCTAAATTTTCCTTGATCAAGGGGCAATATGTGACAAATAGAAAAGACAAACCCGGAAGGACCCCGAATACCTGGGGTAGTGAATCTCGTGAAAAGTAAATGCAAACCATTCCACCAACCATGTCCCGATGCAAAAAAAAAAAAGCAAGAAAAGATAAAAAAAAAAAATTTGTCTGCCAATCAAGAGTCATTACTGGGCAGAGACACGATCACTTGAATCTTGCTTGGTTCGCTTGAAATCCCGATCGCTGCTGGGCACCGATGCGTCGGCCTTGCGCTTGTCGCGGTCCTTTTGGTTCTGGTACTCAACGCGTCGAGCTTCCTTGCGGAGCGCCTTGGATTCAAATTCGTGCCAGTCACCTTCAACGTGCTCCAATCTATGGATGAAGGTTAGTAGGGATAGAGTTCAGAAGGAAGCGGGGGAAACGTACTCAATCGGTGGGTGAGGAGCTGGTTCCTCCGATACGAAGTATGGATGTTTAAGAACATCCTCAGCGCTCGGCCGCTGTGAAGGGTCATAGCGAAAGATCGAGGAGATGAGGTCCATTGCACCAGTTGTCAGCACATCACGGTATACATCCTCGAAAACGCGCTTCCTTCGTTCCGTGGGCCGCATCAAGTGGAACCAGGGCATCTCCACAAGGTCAGGCCATTCAGTCTTAGTAGGAGTACCCAAAGCATTGTAGATCTTATCCATTTGGCTCAATTCACCACCTTCACCGGGGAAAACAGCCTTTTTGGTGAACATCTCCATGCAAACACATGCAGCACTCCACACATCGACAGCCGGGCCATAACGGGTTTCACCCAAGAGGAGTTCCGGTGGTCGGTACCAGATGGTGATCACTCGGTTGGTGTAGTCAAGTTGACGACTTTTGGAGAAGAATCGGGCCAGGCCAAAGTCAGCAAACTTCAACAATCCACGATTGCTGATCAATATGTTGGCTGCTTTGATGTCGCGATGTAGGACCCCTCGGTGATGAAGATAATTGAGACCTTCGAACATTTGCTTCGCCAGATCCTTCTTGTGTGGCAGGGTGAGAGAGAAAGTGGGATGATTGATCAGACCAGTCAGGTCGTGAGAGAGGTATTCAAAGACCATGAAACATTCATTTTTTTCAACCATGACCTCCAAGAGGCTGACGACATTGTGATTTCGGAGATGCTGAAGCAGCTTGATCTCTCGAACAGCCGTGACAGGGAAGCCATCCTTCTCGCCCTCCATTCGGATCTTCTTTAGTGCAACTTTACGCTGGGTATAGACGTGAATTCCTTTGAACACTTTTCCATATGTTCCAGCGCCGATCACAGACTCATTGCCCGGCTTTCTGTAGTACACAGATTCGGCATTAGCGAACTCCTCAGGGAGTGTGGGGCGCGGTTTAAGGCGAGTAAGAACCCGCTTCTGCTTGGGAGGTAGTGCCTCTCTTGGCGGTTGTGGGGAAGGGCCACGGCGGCGATCTTGCCAGTCCGAGGGCTTGTCCGGGAGTCGTTCTCCCTGTCGTCGATCACGACGTTGATCGAACCGGCGATCATCCCTTCGATCCCGTGGATCACGGAATTCTCGCGGCTCCCGGAAGTCTCTACGGTCTCGATCGCGATTTCGTCCACGGTCCCGGTCACGGCGATCAGCCCTTAGATCCGGTTTGAATTTGGGCAGTGGCCCATTGGTAAACCGATTGCGAGGTTGTTGGGGTGGCTCTGGTACACGAGGGACCAGCTCGCGGACCTGTTGCATCCTCTGGGCAAGGTCAGGTACTGGTTTTGGAGCGGGAGAGGGTGCAGCCTTGGACTTGAAAGCAAAGCTGAATTTCCCGCCCTTGTTTGCCGGCGTTGTTTCGTTGGATTCGTGGGTCGGAGGCGGCATGGACTGGGGATTTCCACCATCGGGTTGGGCTTGTGCCTGGTTCACCCCTTCATCCCTACTGGAGGGCCGGGCATAATGATCACTTTCTCCAGCCCGTGGGGATTGCGGGTCATTGTGAGACTGTGGTCGATTAGGAGTTTGTGACCCATGACTGTGTGTCTGGTGGGGGCTATGTTGTCCTCCACGGCCTCGTGATCCCGATGCGGTCCATTGCAAGTTGTTGAAATGCCCCCTCGCGCCGCGTTGTGAGGGCCCGGCGTGATACGGATGAGGACCGGAGCCAGAAAATCGCCGATCGGGACCCTGGTTTGATAAGTTCCCTCGATGGCCACTACCAGAGTGGCCGCCTCGGTGAGGAGGCCCGCCAAATGGAGATTGAGGGTGATGATTGTTCAGACCGCTAAATTGACCTTGGGCATGAAAATAATTTCCATTTTGCGATGAATAGTCATCATGTCGGCAAGGAGAGGTATGACTTAAAGAGGGTATTAGTTTACTTGAGAATGTAACATGTGGAGTGAAAGCAAGAGAAACTTACCCAGTTCCAGAATACGGAGGCGGCCCAGTCCATCCCCCTCGTCCTCCAGAGTAAGGTGAAGGCGGTTGGGGCGAACCGTGGTATGAGCCTGTTGATGTTGCGTATTGAGCGTTTCCATAGGGCCGGTTTTTAAGATGCGGTCGAGACGGCCGACGGCGAGGCTGATTGTTCATATCAGAACGCATCGCATGCGTTGGCAACTCATCTCGCGCGTGAGTAGAGTGTTCTCCAGGAGGAGCGAAGTTATCAGAGTCAAAAATTGGAATTGGGCGCGGTGAAGATGGAGAGCGAGCAGCATCGTCCACAACAGACTGGATTGGTCGGTTTATATTCATCGCCGAATCACGACGTGACCTGCGAGACGATGCTGAGTTTCTCGAGGTTGCAGACCGTACGGAGTGCCGTGAGTTTGACCGATAGTGAGATCCGTGGTCGCTATAGTTGTCATCACCGGGGGTACGGGACCGTTGATCGGGCGAAGGATGAAACCCTCGCTCATGAACAGGCGATCTAGATCTTCCTGGACGTGGAATATCTGGGCGGCGACGATCTTTTCCACGGCGGTCACGGCCCCGTCGTGGTGATCTTCGTCTAGGGGCACCACGACCTTGGTTGCGGCCACCTCGTTTCTTGAATGACGGGCTTCGATCCCGGATATCCCAGTTGTCAGAGTAATTTAGACGCGGTGGAGGGAGGGGGCCACGACCGCCACGCGGTGAAGGGCTTCGCGTCCTTTGCCGTTTCTGTGGAGGTCCAGCTGATGATTCGTCCTTTCGAAGACCGAGGGCTTCTCTGTCAAAAGGTCCAGGAGTGTGGGTGTTCCAGTCACCGGTTGATGACACAGGTTTGGTTAAATCTAGTCGACGGTTGTTGTGAAAGTTTCGAGGCGGAGGAGAACCTCGAAGAGGAGATCGATCTGGAGCGAAATCACCCAAGTCGTGAGAAGAATCAGGGCCAAAGCGGGACGCGTGTGGTGGCGACCGCCCCGGGCGATCGAGATTGCGGTTGTTGGGCCGATATGGACGGCCTCGGTCACGACCTCTGTTTCTCCCTCGATCGCGGCCTGACCCTCGACCTCTCCGTCTCTCCCTATCACGGGGATCACGGTCTGGGTCAGCACTCCACTGGTCTCTCAACACAGGACTCGTACGGGACCCAGCCATGTCAACGTCGCCAGCGGCATCTGGTTCAATCAGGGAAAGAAGAGGATTTCAGCAAGGCCAGTCCTTGGAAGAAGCCTTGAACTAGAGATAATGATGAGAAAGCGCAGTGAGCGATGGCGTCCAAGCGTATCTGCGATCGCAGGCGGAAGTCTTTCGGGTTTGGGGAACCCGGAATGATGGTTCTTCCAGGTTCCGAACTGTGCACACTGTCAAGCGCTGTTGAGCAACGAGAACATTAGCAAGGGGGAAAGTTGAATGGGGCATACGCACCAATTCAGATTTATCAAATACACCGTCTCATCCTTCCATGAAAAAAAAAGCACACTACTTGGCCGTGGAAGGTAGACTCTCCAAGGCTATAGACCTCGGGGTTGCTGACTGATCCGTGGTGCGGTTCTACAACTTGATTCGACGCTTGGATGCTGGAAGGTTGACGTGCAGCTGCCGAAGACAAGTGCAAACTGTACTCCTGCTTTGCTTCCCCGGATTTCTTTTTTTGTATACCGAATATGTCGAGTTTGTGTCTGCTCAGCACATGACAACCTGAACAGGTTGTGCCCACACGTTGGAGAAACAGATATGCTAGCCAAGTTGCTAGTATTTTGTCCCCTTTGTGCTCGCCTTACCCTCTCTTGTACAGCAGTTGCCTGTTTTTGGCAAAGCCATATTGAGACTGTGTTGGCTTGTCCCACGAACGAAACTATCTACGTATTGCACAAGGCCAGATGGGCCAGCATTCCCGAGGCACCACTGTGAAGAGGACAATCCCCGTTGGATTATCAGGCCACACCATAAAGTTAATGGCTGGAGCCTCTTATCAGTCTTTCCCACAAGATCATGGAGCTGTTAGTCAATTCAGAGGGCCGATTCGACATTCTGTGATTCCTTGTTGCAACCAACTTTGATGCTTTGTATCACACCTAGCCAGTCAGATTTCCGATGTTTTGTAAGCTGCAGAATGGTCAATTGTCGAAGTTCGGGTCATCAAGCAACAGATAAAGAGTGCGTTCTGAATTGAAGCTTTGTCGGAATTTACAACAGATAGACTGATTGTTGACTATCTGGGGATAAATACCACCGGGACAGAGACAAAACGTGGGCGAAACCCCCGATTGCGATATTGTTTTAAGCCGAACGTTGCGAGTCCTGTGGATTTATGGTTCTGCCGCACAAGGGTGCGAATTCATGCTGGGGATATCCGGATGTCTGGGTCGATTGACCAGACAGAGGGCTGGCGGCAGCGGTGCGGAGCATACCGAATAAGGGGTCAATGTACGAGACGGCCAAGGCAAGAAGAGCCTAAAAACAATGGTGATTCCACCCCCAATCCAGTAGAATGTGCAAGCCTCCAAAGGCGCGGCCTGTCAATGAAATGCTAGAGACTAGGCCCTGCACTCAGTCAACCCCCATCTCCCATATTAAAAAGCGAGATCAGTTCCAGGACAAGAAATTGACAATTTGTAATCTAAGGGAAAGCAACGCCTTATATTGTGGATGTGGTTGCAGGGAACTCAGGGTCGTGGCCTGAAAGTCAGCCCAAGATTGAGCGGGATGTGCTGGAACACAAACCCCCGGCCATTCTGACCCGACAAAAAAAAGGAACATTACCCAAATAAAAACACCCCAGAGAGTTAGTTTCAACAAAGAATTTTATCGCAGTATGATCAGAAGGGCTCTCGCCCTGTCGAATTGGCGAAGAACTAAGAAAGCAAAGAGGCAGATTGATGTCATGAGCAGGTCGAAGTTGTGCCGGAGCTGCGTGTGGGGTCACACAGATGTCACGTGAGAATCCTGTCAATGCACTTTAGTGCACAAATCAGCCCTGTCTGGCACTTCTTAACCTCATCTTTTAGGAGATTTTGCTCACTTACGTATCGACAACACTAACTACGCTCCCAACTGCTAGTTTTAACTGCCAGTTATTGGACAGAGGCCGCACCCCTTAACACGCGCTGTCACACGACTCACCCCCTTTGTTGTCCGGTCTGAGCTTATGAAGCGAAGCACTCCACTTGGTGCTCCATTGATTAGGAACCACCTGCAGTGGAAGTAGGCAGCCGTGACCAATCGTGGCGCATTCCTTAGGCAACGAACGTGTACGACATAGGCGAGCAAGCCAGGATCTGCGACCCTTTATCTAATACAACGGTGCCCACACTCATTAGTACACTGGCGCAGAAAGAATGTATCTCTACATGCTATACAGTAGTAGAATTAGGAAACCAAGCAGCTAGTACCTATACAAGTTTATTTGGCAATACTCTACAACAAACTCCATGTTTCTCAAAGATTGGCAACCTCTCAAATCTCACATCTGTGTCAAGGTCACCCTAAAACCTTTATGCTCGCGCGTCAAGCACGATTCGTCTCAAAAACTACTCAAACAGACGTTGATGCATCCTCAAATCAACCCTCCTGAGGAGGATTGATCCCCGATGGCCTTAACCTTCCCAGACAACCGTCCCACACCGAGCGATTCATCCGCTCCATCGATGGCAAAACGACAGAGACGAGGCGTGGCAGGCTCCTCTGGGTCCTCAGGCTCCGAAAACGTGACTGCGTGATGCACAATCCCATTGCCATTGGGGGCCTGACGAGCAGGAATGTTCCGGGTCTCGGTCCCTTCGTTCGACAAAGGAGAGATAGCCAAAGACTCTCGATCATGCGAATGGGCAAAAGACACCCCAGGGGAGTGGGTTTCTTGAGAACTGATAAGACCAGCATCGGTACGGTTTTGCACAGCCAGGGGCACACTGGCTTGCGAATGTGGCTGAAGGGCAATCACGGAAGTTTGGCTGTTCTCGTTGAAGCCGGACTCAGACGTGCTTGGTGTTTCTGGATGCGCATCTGGCACAGACGCTGAGACTGAATTAGCAGGTCCATGTAGCCTAAGAGGTTGGAAGAAGGCCACCATACGCGGATCTGGATTCTGACTTTCTGCAACATGTTGACTCGAATCTTCCGAAATTCGTTCCGGTACAGAAGTTGGATCCAAAACAACAGTGGAGCCTGGCAAGGCTGGAGCAACCGGTGGGGTTAGAGCATCCAGCAAGGTTGCAGCAGCTTGCAAGTGTGAGAGAGGAGACGAATTTGCGGCAGATAAATTTGGAGCGAACGATAGTCTTGGAGCAGCCGAGCTTGGATCAGCTGGGGCTTTTGGAGGAGCCGGTGGGGTTAGAGCAGTGAGTAGTACTGTAGCAGCCGGCGAATTTGTGGCAGCTGACAGAGTTGGGGCAGCCGTTGGGGTTAGAGCGGCCGAAAATTCCCGGGGTTCCGATAAGTATTGAGTACCAGCTAAGCTTGGAGCAACCACAGGATCTGGAGCAGTCACGGTGTTTGGGGCAGTGGGCAGAACCGAAGCATCGGGTGCATTAGATGAAACAGGTGTAGTGGATGCGTTGAGATTTGCGCGCCGCGGCAGCCAAGGAAGGGCGGGCAGAGGAAGCATGGCACCCTCGAATGTGGCAGGCTCAATTCTTATGATATGGGCACCACTGTCATTGAGTACGATGTAAGGAGGTGTTCGGTGCCGTCTTCCGCGTGGGACTGCCATGGGCTGAATGTCTTCAGGACTAACACCGGCAATAAGCTGCTGCCGAATGAGCCATGCTTGAAGAATACGTTCTGGGGCATAAGGGGTGGCACCCTCAGGGAACGGAGCCGGATCGAACGGGAATCTGTAAGGGTTTCCCCAGTCGGTATACCTCTGTGGTTGAGGTGCTGACATAGGAAGAGTTTCCACAGGGGCTGGAACAGTAGAAGACTGACCCCAAGCTGCCGTTGGGTAAGGAGAAGGAGGCCTATGCTGTTGAGAGTTCTCCCTGGGGTGAGCAGGACCCATGTAACCTGACGCCTCAAAAAGAATATGCGGCATCGGCTCAAATGGACCGGCTGCAGGGAAATCTTGGGTTTCATGTTGGTCACGCACGCCCATAGCTGGCGGCTGCAATCTATGTTCGGCGCCGGCAGGGTCCGAGGGTTGGTTGAGTTCGTTGTTAAATTGCGAATTTTCACGATGGGATTCTTCAAGCATGCGCGCAGCTTCATGCTGAGACTCATCAGGCAGATCAGAAGCGTGAGGATGAGAATTGGCTATGTGAGAAGCTTGATGCTGGGACTGGTTGGACCCAAAAGCTGTTTCATACCAGGCTTCAACTTCCCTGCGCGCATTTACTCGATTGGCTTCGTTGATCCTTCGTAACCTCTCAAGGTGGACGAAGAAGTCGGGGTGCACACGCGGTCCAGCATCTTCGGAAGAGTCAGAGTCGGCGTCGGCTTCCAGGTGCGCCTGGAGAATTTCAAGAGTTGCATGAGAGGGAAACCATGAAGATGTAGACTCGGCCATATTGTTGGTGCTAGGGAAATCGTCGTCTGAAGAGAGATCCGAGGAGTCAAAGATGGCTGAACGTCGAGTGCGGTCCCCCATCGTGTTGAAATGGATTCTTTGTTCCTTCAGTTTCATGCATGTAAGTCTCAGGCTTGATTTGGTAAGACACGTTCAACACACCTGCAGTCCTCAATGGTGTCTGGGCGAACCCTTCGTGTGCAGGCTATTCGACAGGTTTGGGTACGAGAATCCTTTGTTGAGCAAGGAGATTAGTACCATGAGCCTAATTTCGTGTACAGCAAACTTATGATTGAAAACAGAGAGCAGCTTGCATGAGACCTACCAAGGTGGATAATGTTGATGCCACTTTCAATGGCTACGGGGTGAAGTGTGGTGTCAAGAGGCATGAACAGGCGTGGACGTGACTGGGAGATGCACAGGCACGTCAAATGTTGTAGAAAGGCGCAAAGAAGCGCAAGGCCAGGTGATCAGTAGATCACAAAAGGGACCGAATATGAATCGATGAGAGTTTCAAGTGATGGAGAGTGCAGGGGTTGAAGAGAGAGTTGGACAGAGAGTTGGGTGGTAGATGAGAGGGTGAGACAGGAAGAAAGAGTTTGCCATAGGATTGGTTTTTAAGAGAAAAAAAAAACATTGGTGTGCGGACGTGTAGAAGACCATCGTCACATGCAAAGACGAATCGTCAGAAGAGTGGTAGTGGTTCATCGCGGAGGTCCTTGCCTGTCTGAGCGGTTTGAAGGTCTCTGGCAATACATATCTTCATGCGGATAAAGCACTCTGGAATCAGAGCCACCTATCTGCATATTCACCCCTACCCAGATAGTGGGCATCACTCATATCTCTTCATCAAACCTTAGAAGACTTGGTGGGCTTACAGGAGCCCTGAGATAGGCCAAATAACCCTATATACTTCATCAACAGGCCTCCAACTTAGCACTTTATCTATGCTGAAGGTCGAGACACCACTACCAGAGCTTTGCTTTTCCGTTTTAGACAAGGATGGAAACAAGAAGTCAGAATCAAATTGTACATTGGTTCTAATACATGCATCGTATCTAGGTGGAATGCTCCCGGAATTCCTACTGGGATGCTTGTAAGCAGCATGAGATCAAGTGTTGAAACGGCCTTGCTAGTACTATCGAGTGAGATCTCAATAGGCTGTATAGGAAAGGCCTCTTGTGCAGTTGTGTTAGTAGGGTACGGCATAGGGGATGGAGGATAGAGGATAGGAAAAAGGACGGGGGGAGGGGGAGTTATTTTTTCCCTTGAGCCCATCATGGGTCGAGATAGGGGGCATCTGCCATTTCCCGCAGAGCCACCAGCCCTAGAAGCACACCGGGAGCTCCATCGAAGGAAGACGACAAGACACCATGGCAAAAATTTGCCTGAGAATTTTCCGGGAAACCGAGACAAGAGAAGACAAGAGAAACACCAATCCACGCTTAACATGTAGAGTAAAAAGCAAAACCACCCAAAACCTGTTGAAAGGTCACCAAAACTCCAAAAATCCGAAAATCGACAACCTATTTTTAGGTTGGGCGGTTGAGGAGATGGGCCATTATCTCCGGTTCAACAGAGTCAAAAACTCTTCGCGAGTCTTGGCGCTGGAACGCATACATCCAAGCATACAGCTGGTAGTAGTGGTGCTGCTAACTTTCTGAACACCGCGCATAACCATGCACAGGTGGGAAGATTCCATGACGACACCAACGCCGCGGGGCTGGAGGACCTCTGAGATTGCTAACGCGACTTGCTTGGTTAGACGCTCCTGGACCTGGAGTCTGCGAGAGAACATCTCCGCCAGGCGAGCCAGCTTTGACAACCCAAGGACACGGCGGTCAGGGATATATCCGATATGCATCTGTGAGTGGTTAGAATAGTTGCCACTACGGAATCAATGTGTCCAGAAATTCTTACCTTTCCAGTGAATGGTACCATGTGGTGCTCGCACATTGAAAAGACATCGATGTCCTTGACAATAACCAACTCATCGTGATCCTCGTGAAAGACAGCATTGTTGACCAAGTCCCGAACATTCTCCTCGTAGCCCTTGGTGAAATAGAGCATGGCCTTGGCATATCGCATGGGAGTTTCGCGAAGTCCTTCTCTTTCCGGATCCTCGCCGATACATTCCAGGATTGTTCGGATAGCTCCAGACATCTTCTCGAGCCGTTGTTCGGTCTCCTCCGGGGTTGACTCCTTCCGCTGTCTGGTTCCGGGGCCTAGGTGACAGTGGTTAGAGGAGTATACCAATAGAGTGGTGTCCACCAAAAGGGCTAGTATCACTAACAAGGCCAGCTGAGACCGTCAAAATCGATTGGTGGGTTCAATGTGTAGGGGCTGGCAGGTCGGCTGACAGTAGTTGATGGCGTCAATGGGGCAGCCTCATCCCGGGGGTCGCGGGGAGGGTCATTCAAGGTAGGACTAGATCACAAAGATTAGCAATGAGAAAATGAAGTGTCATGGTCACCGTTGTTGATATCGCTGTATACATACCGCACTGGCGCCACACTGCGGATTGGCACATCAGCACTGGAGACGGCCTGGGTGGGGGCGGCTCCAGTCTTCGTTTCGGCCTTGGTCTCGGTCTCGGTCTTGTTTTTGCTCTCAGGAGATTCAAAATCAATGGGAATTCGCGGCTCAAAAGATGAACGAATGGATGTATTCAGACTCTCGCGCTCACGGGAATCACGGCTGCCCGTTGAACGTTGCAGCGGGGAGCTACCGTTTAGCATGTGGGACGGAATAGCTGAGGCCCTGGGGCCTGTAGGGGAACCGGAACCCATGATGGAGTTATTTCAAGTATGACGATGATAGAAAGTAGAATATGCCACCTTCCAAAATGATTAATGTAATAAACGAGGTGAACATCTAAAGTCTCACCTTTTTTTTTTTTCTAGCAAATGACACTAACTTTCTTCCATTCCCCTCATCCCCCCCCCACCAATCAGCACCAATCAAATCCCACCGGAGTGATGGCATGCTCCCCGCGGGCAGATAACGGACTCCCGGGCCGATTAGTGCAAGCTTACATGCATAGAGCCCCAGAGCTATGTTTGACTAAATCCTGGAGTTTATCGGAGTGGGATACAGGAGATATGCTCTTTGTTCTATTTGTCGCCTCATACTCTCATGTTAGCTTCATATAGAGGAACGTGCGGGGATAGACCAAAATGCGGCAGTGAAACAGATGGAAATAGTGCAGCTAAGGTGCCCGCGGACAAGATAAAAAGGTCAAAATAATTAAGCGCTCATTAAGTCTACAAGAAGCATAGATGCCGTGCAACTGGTTTCAAATCTCGTAGGCTGATGACCATAGGTAACGATATGCCCTTCTACATTAGGGTTGGTGGGCAATATGACAATCATGCCACTAGCAGCAAGGACAAGGACGAAATATAGGGATTTGGAATGCAAGGATGTTTTTAGTGATTAACTCACTACGGTCTTAATTCACCTATACCAAAGAAACCCCTATATGGGAAAATGACTGGACGACTGCCAGTCCGGTAAAGATAACATCACGCCTCAATTTCTTCTGTTGGGACATCCTCAAGATCCTTGCCCACAATTGCATCTGCTACTTTCCATACCTGCAGTAGATTGTCCTCGGCGGCGGAACAGAGGACCCAAGGGTCGCTTAGGTTCCAGCTAAAGTCTGAGATACGATTCGTGTGTCCACCGTGCATAAACAGACTAAGAAGTAAGGTCAGCAAACAACTCCAGCACAAGAGACCAAGAAGGAAAAGTTGTGGTCACTTACAGCTCTGGTGGCCCGTCTTGAGCATCCTCGGGGGTTTGCTCCTCGCCTGCCCGGCTGAGGTCCCAGAACATAATCTTGCGGTCATAACTGGAACTGGCCAGGACCGACTCTTCAAACGGATGCCACGAGATAGACTGAACGGAATCGGTGTGGCCCTCCAGGGAGTGGAGCTTCGATTTCAGATTACGAAGATCCCAAATACCGATAGTCTTGTCGGCGGAACCCGTTGCCAGAATAGTCTCGGAAGCCGGGTTGAAGGAAATGGAGTTGATGGCATCGCGGTGCTGACCTTCAGCCGAGGCAGCCGCACGAGTAGAATCATCTTGGCGAGTATCAAGGATTTGTAGCGTGATGTCATCGGAGACGGTTCCGATGAGAGAGGAGTGGAGAGGATGGTGTTGAACATCGTTGACGATCGAAGAGTGGTGCGTGAAGGTGCGACTGGGTCGGACTGCCTTGTTGCCCTTGGTGTATGTAGTAATATCCCTGCGGTGAGCTTCATTAGCTGCTAATCACGCCAAATCTTGGGTTTATGGGTTGCGCCCGCTTACCAAAGTCGAACAGTTTTGTCCTCGCTTCCCGTTGCGAGGTGACCGGCCACATGAGGGTTCCAGCTAAGTCCGAATCCTTCAGCCTCATGACCCAGGAGCTCCATTTGAGGGTTGACGGTTCCGGTTGGCAAGCTGGGATGCTTGGAGCGATCCCAGATCATCACTCGACCATCCGTGCACATTGTCGCAATAATATTCGGGTTCTGTGGCTGATAACGGGCCTTGTTGACCTCACCCTTGTGATCGATCTTTTGCACAATATTGAACTTGATTTCCATCTGTGCTTTTTTTGAACCCCCGCCATAGCCGCCAATCTCTCCTTTCTCTTCATCATAATCTTCCGGGTTTGGGGCATTAGGGTTTGGAAGTTGCACTTGGGCAATCTGGAGGTAATTTGGCGCTTCGCCCGTGGTATGTGTGCCAATTAGGAGACGATGGGTTGAGTAAGGCTTGTCTGGGATTCTGAAGATAGACTTGATTAGGCTGATGATTGGACCAGTAGGCGTTCGGGGCGTACTCTTGCTTATCTGGAAGCCACTGAGTTGTGAGAGTTGGCCATTCTAATGCTGTGCTTAGGATCATGTCATAGAGGAAGGGCGCATTCTTCTTCCATGTTTTGTACTCTGTCTCCAATGAATATGATTAGATGTAACCGTAATTGGCAGAACGTGAGAAAATCTACCTTCATTGATCGCCTTCTCATCAGCATGTTCATGATCCTGATTTTGATCTTTCTCGTGCTCGTCACCAACACCTAGACGTTG